CCGACGATAAGCGTGCCAAGAAGTAGTGCCGTCGTATGGCGGCACTTTCACTCTTGGTCCTAGCGCCACTCCAGTAGTGTCACCAGACATCGCGACTCCCGTGGTTTCAAGGCGCACTACTTTCTTCTGTAGTTCAGTGAGGCCGGTTTTCACATTTTCAACATCCAATCCTAACCCGGTAACTCGTTCTTCCACGACGTCGACATCTTTTCGAAGCTTAATCACCGTGTTACTAACATCATTTATAGCCAAATCAAAGCGCTTTTTTCTTGGAGGTCTTTTTGTTGCTCTTGTGATTCTCGAATCTCTGATTTCTTTTGAAACGCTTGCGCTTCAAAAGAAACTTGAAGACGCTTGAAACGAAAGCGCCGAGCCTGCGTTCGTGTGATTCTTTCATTGCTTGAATTTCAGCCCTTTGCATCTCCATTAGTTCAATTAAACTTCCTAATTTAAGAGCCACTTCAGGTGCTGCAGAAGTTACGGTGCCGGTGGTGGGCGTGGCAAGGTGGGCGGGGCAGTGGGCGTGGCCCGGTCGGTGTGGCCAGCGGGCGGGGCTTGCCCCACCGCGGGCGGTGCTTGGTCCCCAGTGGGTGTGGCCTCCGCAGCTCGTGCCCTTGTCCCTCCTTGAAGTCCTCTCTCGGAGTCAATGGCATCTCCAAATCCCACTTCTGACACCAGTTGTTACGTGTTAGGGTTCGAAGGATTTGCAGAGAAAGACCTGCTGACTCTTTTGAAGACTTTATTCACTAGCACTAGGTCCTGCACAAAGCACTAGGTCCAAACACTAAGCACTGACGATGTCCTAGATTGTAGCCAAGTCGTAGGTTTCACTGGTATCGCTCTTGATCACTAGTTTTCGCTCCGAAGTCGCCTCGAAGGTAGCTCTAACTGAACTGTCCTGGGTCGCCTCTCTGCGGCTTTTTATATGGGCCGAGACGAGCCCCAGACTAATCCAGAAAGTTCCTTCCTGGAACGTACCCGACACGCGCGAACATGATCGTGATGCTGGAAAGTTCGCGAATGTACCCGGTTTTCGAGACTATAGTTCCACAGTAGTTCCTCTAACGCCATCTAGTTTTGAATAGGGGGTTTTATGTTGTCTTTGTTCGTTGAGCGGTTTACTGGTTGACGCTAGATGGCGCTAGTTTCTTTTTGTGTTCGTAACAATATATTCTAGTTATAATTGCTGTCGTTTATCGATACAAATAAGGATTTTATCGATAGTTTTTTTATTACTATATTCTACACCACTGATATTAATTTCATTAAGATTTGTTGATGTATTACATTCATTTTTGGATTTGAATTTCTCTTTTAGAGGTATTTTCATGATTTTTTTCTATCGAGAATATGTTTTGGAAACAATGTTCCAGTAGAATGTACGATCAAGATTAATATATATTTTTTTTGCTGCTATAAAATGTGTAGATTTTGATAAAAAAATCTTTTGAAAAACCTATTTTTATTGCATACAGCGCCTTGAATAGCTAAGACTCAGCAAGGATATGCTAAAACAGTTTTCTTTTGAAAATATTTTTGGTGGCGCAAACAATCAGCTGACGACGATTTTTAAATTAACTTAAACTTAATTTGAATTAAATTTAAATTAACTTAAAATTCAATAAGTATAATTTTAATTTCATATAAATAACACCTCAGTATATTTATTAATTTCGTGTCGGTTTCAAATTAGTTTACATACAGAAATATTTATTTACTAGCTGTGTCCGCGACTTCGTCTGCGTGGAATTTAAAATAAGAAAATATCTAAAATAAAAGTAGCCTATGTTACTCCTTATTACATCAGCTATCTGCCAGTGAAAGTCCCGTCCAAATCGGTCCAGCCCTTTCAGAGATTAGCCGGAACAAACAGACAGACAGACAGACAAAAATTGTAAAAAAATGTTATTTTGGTATTATAAAAAATATTATTGATGTATACACGGTAGTGTATACATCAAATAATAACATATAGTACATTCACTAGTTTTAGTTAAATTGTGATTTAATCACGAGGGCGGACAAATCCACTGTTAAAATGCTTGTTATGCACAAAGATGTTCGCTCCACTCTGATTTTTTGAGTTAAAAGATCCGCACAATGTATGAAGCGAAGTAAAAAAGCAACTCTCCATAAGTGACGCCTAGCGGTGAAGGAAACAATGTCGATTTTCTCCTACATGAAGTGTACCCTCAGAATAATTTCAGAGAGACATACAAACGATATACAAGGCTGAAAAACAGTGATAGTAAGTGACCATTTACAAAAATAACGCGTATGCGTGTAAAATTTTTAGAAATCAGTCCCCAGGTTACCACGTATTCAATGAAACGTGAAAATGAAAATTATTACAACTCGGGCCGGTTGTGGCACAGTGGTGGGTAGATTATAATCTTCTTAATAAATAAAAATGAATGTTGGTGGGGGAGAATTATAATTATGGGGGAGGCCTATGTTCAGCAGTGGACTCAAACAGGCTGAAATGATGATGATGATGATGAAGCGCATAACTCACGAGTTTCCAAGTTTGACTCTGTTTTAATATGTTGTTATAATTTGGAAATAAGATTAATTATTTATTATTTATTCATATTTTATGGTAATACATAAAAAATATATCATAGGACTAAATTATATTTTTGAGAAAGAGAAATATTTAGATACCAAAATCTAAGCTAAGTTAAGTTTATATAGCTATTTATTTATTTATTAAGCTTACCAACTGAATGCATACAGAACATTGGCATACAACTAGGTTTAATTTAATCATACATTTTTGACAATATATGTACCTATTATTTAAGTTGCCAAAACTATAAAAGAAACTTAAATTCTAGATAACAGAAAATTACTTAACTAGTAACTTATCTTTTATCTTGGAGAAAAAACCGAAAAAAAAAAAATTAGATAGAGAAATGTTAATAATTAAATATTACAGACGTGAAAACCAACGCAAACACTTACTTTTAATAAAAAAAAAATTAAATCTTGTTATTTTTACTAAATAAATCCGCCATTTTATGTTTGACAACATGTATAAATTTACGAATTCACACACTTTTCCAAATTATAACCTTCGCATTATTAAAAAAGAGTCTTTAAAAATACTAAAAGTACTGTTACACTAAAGTTTTCTGGGTGGTCATAAAAAAAAACCTAACCTGAACCTGACGTCGTTAAACCTGAAACGAGTCAACTCGAGTTCAGTTTTAAGCAACTCGAATCAACTCGGTCGTCCGAACTCAAACCGAACGTTATACGCGGGGGCCTCACGAGTTGTTCCGAGTTACACACGCGGCACGCGCGCGCGGTTCGTTAGGCGTTGCAACTCGCATCAACTCGCATCAACTCGCATCAACTCGCATCAACTCGAGTTGAGTGAAATGCAAAGTTACGTTACACGCGCGCGCGCCGTTCGTAAGGTCTTGCATCTTACTCGCATCAACTCGAATAGAACTCGGGTTGAATCGGGCTCGTTCGGCCAGGATCGGAAACGGAATTGCGCAAATGAAAAACCGCTTTAAAAGTTTATTTTGTTTTTTGATTGACATTTTGTTATTTGATTTTATTAGTTGGCCGTTGGCGATCCGCGTGCGAACTGACATTTTTGATTTGTTAGTGATCTGTTTTGTTTTGTTTGTAACGACGTCAAATAACAGAAGTATGGCGTGGGAATTCTTTGCTATAAAAACAGAAACTTTTTTAACTTTATTTTCGATAAGCAATCGACTATGTACAATTACATTTTATAAGTACTACTTTGAGGCGATAGATGGCGGTATTTTTTTGTCGTTTTTTCTTAAACACGATGTTGAGATCTGCGCTGGAATAATATACACCTTTGTTGATTGATTTTCGAAATAACTTGCACACTAGTGTCAATTGATTGTAAATTTTAGCCATATAACATCACGATTCAACATCATTATTACTTCCTATCTAATTAGCCTCGAGTCGAGCTGACTCGTGCTCTCCGAGTTGGTCGAGTCGTCGTCTCACACAACACGAGTCAAAAAAAAATCAACCGTCATACACTAGAGTATAAACAACGCTCTTCCCACAGTATTTTTTTTTTTTGGTCCAGTTGGCCTTAGGGGCTAGTGTGCATCGCACCCACATCCTCTAGTGCAAGTGACAAATTCACTCTACACTAATCATGTCTACGGATCATAGCGCTGCATAACAATTTAAAATATTCTATTTATCGTTCGCACCATTCATTGTATTACACAAATGTGGTGTTAAGATCACATTATTAGAATTAATCATTTTATTCTTATATCTACATCTAAAATACACAGTGAGTAAAAGAGGTGTAGAACAAGTTTTGATAATATAAATCAGTCTTTCCAAACCGTTACGACCTGGATGGCCCCTTTCTTCACTTTCTTCTTCATTTTTTCTCATTGAGTTTCTCTATTGACCTGTTTAATAGCGCGTTTTTTCGTCAAAAACAAGAACTTTTTCCTAGAACTATTAGTCGCCCAGTGGTCGAAATTCGAGCATAATTATACATGGTAGTGCGTGTAATATTTTTTTATCGATTTAATATATTTTTTTATGAATAAAAAAAAAATATGAGCATTCTGCACTGCTTCTCTATATATATTATATATATATATTATATTATTATATTTTCATCTTTCGTGAAAAGGGGTACAAAAGTTTTGCTTCACGTAATAATATACAGGGTGATTTTATAGACGACGGACATATTAACAGAGCATATGCAGAATTTGATTCTAAATCTGAATCTGGTACGGACTTGTGACCACATTTTAATTTCAAAGATGTTTATTCTTCAAACATTATGGATTACCTATTAGAAATTCCAATAAACAAACAATGTTTCAATTGATATTTTTCTGGTTATTTCTTGTCAAAATAAAATGTTAATATTTTTTTAAAATTATGAAATGCTCAATTAACATTATGTCAAAGTATGGACTTCGTCTAAAAAATCATCGCGCTAACGGTAATAACGATTAACGATGTTGAAAATGTTGTCAATCAAGACGTCAGTCGGGTAATCGTAATAATATTATCGGGAACATAACTTATTATTAATTTAGCTGGGGCAGAGGGCGTTCACAGTAGATCGCCATCGCGAACGATCTTGCGCTTCACGCTTCACCTCGCTCCATGTCAGTCCGATGCTCGCTGCTTCTGCCAATACGGTGCGATGCCAGGTTTGCCGGGGACGGCCACGCTTTCTTTTTCCCTGAGGATTCCAATCCAATGCTTGTTTAGGAATGTGATCGGAACCTTTCCGGAGCATGTGACCAATCCATTTCCACTTGCGACGCTTGATCTGGCGGTCAATCGAGCTCTCGTGGCATCTTTCCAACAGTTCTATGTTTGAGATGGTCTCCAGTAAATTCCGAGTATGCTACGAAGGCATCGGTTGACGAAAACTTGGATTTGGCGTGAGATGTTCTTAGTTACCTTCCACGTTTCGCACCCGTAGAGCAGTACGGACTTGACATTCGACCCGAAGATTTTGAGTTTAATCCTTCGGGTCAGTTTCCATGACTGCCAAATAGGTCTCAGTTGTGCGAAGGTAACTCGAGCTTTGGCAATCCGTGAAGTGACGTCTTCTTCAGTTCCTCCAGTTTCCGACACAACGCTCCCGAGGTAGGTGAATTTGTGGACGCGTTCCACAAATTCACCTCTGTGCCTATTAGCATAGGTGTCAAATTCTCTACTCCTATACGCATCTCCTGGGTCTTCCGGATGTTAATTTTTAGTCCCGCCTTCGCTGCCTCCTGTCGAAGGTTGTTCAACTTAGCTTGCATGTTGCCGTGTGTATGACTCAGCAAGAATAAGTCATCGGCATAATCCAAGTCTTCTAAGACTTTGGATGATCCCCACTCGATCCCGCGGCGCCCGTTATTGTAGATGCCAAGCATAATTCCGTCAAGAACAATGATAAACAGAAGAGGCGAAAGCAGACAGCCTTGGCGGACACCCGCGTGAACAGCGATGTCATCAGAGCTGAGGCCATCGTGAGCCACCTTACAAGTATATTTTTTATAGATGTTTTCTAATATACGGACAATTTTCGGTGGCACTCCAAGGTCCAGAAGGCGTGACCAGATACTGGACCACTTAAGTATCAAAGGCCTTTTCGAAGTCGACAAAGGTAAGATAAATCTCCCTATGCCATTCTGATGCCTGCTCAAGTATGATACGGAGAGTGGTGATCTGATCTGTACATGATCGGTTTGAACGGAACCCAGCCTGTTCTTTGCGTAGAAGGGGTTCCAAATCCTCTCAATCAAAGACGTCAGTACATCGACAGCGGAAGATAAATCGGCCTGTAGCATTTCCTCGGTTATTAATAAGGTCGAGTCCTGGTGCTTTGCCTGTCTTCAGAGAGAGGACTGCTTCAGCAACTTCGGAGGCTGAGGGTGGTTCCGTGTTGACATCTAACAGCTGGGGTGGTGAGGAACCGGCTTGCAGCAAATCAGGAGTCAATGTTGCTGATAATCGAAAGACCTCCTCGAAGTGTTCACGCCAGCGTGACAGTTGCTTTTCTGGCGTCACAATGAGCGGGGCGTCATTGTGGGTGTCAAGCAGTCTCTGATGGAGATTTCTTCTCCCACCCAGGCGGAGTCCGCACAACACGTATAGCACTACTGCATGCTATTGGCTAGGTTAAATGCCATTGGATGAACATCCAGATTGGGATCAATTATTTGTAGGCAACATGTGACATATTTGATTTCTTTCGTGTGGGAATTGTACCTGCGGCCCCGATGCCGAAGCCAACAGCCAACTGCTCCATAGAGTCATGGTGATTACTTTTTTGATCATGCAGCTTTTTTGGACTGCCACTAAAATTGTTTTCGTGTTCAGTCATTCCACAGTGATCAACTTGTTAGTCTCCCCTTGTAAATACTTATACACAAATTTCTATATTTTTATTTTTCAGCTTGCTTTCCTAATAAAACTACGATGCAGTCAGGCAGTTTGTGTGATTCTGTGTGTGAAAATAAACAATAATGTTATAGGATGTTTGCATTAATTTCTCTTCGCCTCTTTACGAAAACCCGAACTACATTGTAGAGACATTGAACGAAACATTTATGTTATCTTAATTACTGTCCACATACGCGTTGTTTTTGAAGTCGTAACCGATAAAAAATCTCCAGCCAGGAAATGTATCACTTGAACAAATGAACTTTTTCGGAACATTGTGAAATTATTAAATAAATGAACTGATTGTGATTAAACCTAAAACTATTCATCGTACAGAACCAAATTGGCATTGGAAAAAATTGTCTAAGAGGAGTTGATTGTAGAGATTGTTAAAATTTTCGAAGACGGAGCAGTTTTAGTTTGGTGAGTACGGTTTTGTCCTGCGAATGTATATATGAATTCTGTTGCGAGTGGGGAGCGCACGCGCAGCATAGGGTTGCTGTTGCGCCAGTGTCGCGCAAAACGTTCACCGTTTGCACACGTAGCGTGTAACGCAAGGAGACGAACACAAGTCTTATATATCCATTGTCTTGATGAAAGGTCCTTGCGTTAAATCTATATTTAAAATAATTCCTTTTTTGGTTGTGAACGTGTTTGTTTTATAACATCGCCAGGATATTCGTATATGCTGTACATGTACTGGAAATATTTTTATATGGTTCTTTTCAATTTGTAGATACGGTGAGTAAATATCAATAAATTAAATAATTGTAAATAAAATAAATGATTTGTTATGGTAAATTAAGAAATATTTTTTTTATTTCAAACTATGAACATTATTAATATTTTGTGAGTGATGAGAAAATCTCTGTTTATATGTGCATATTTAAAATAATATTTTGGAAAAACTGAACGAAGATTGTGGTGTTTAACTTTTCCCTATGACGTTACTCTTTTGTTAAGACAATCAAACATCGAACACTTCCTTTTCTATTGTAGGTAATGTTATCGGGCTCCATTTTATGACTCGCTGATTTCGTTTTGAATGCATAGTTAGATCTTCGTTTAGGTAGAGTAATGTGTATATTATTCTAATGTAATGTATATTTTTGATAACAGTTCCGAATGAGTTATATTTAAATAGTCTATACTATAACATATAATGTAAGTAAACGGTTATAATTATGACGGAATTTGTCTTGAATCTTTAAATCTGACGAAGAATTATGGAAGGAAAATATAACAATAGTGATCAGAGATCCAAAAATCTATGTTAATACGTGAATTCTACTATACTTAATTCTATTTTTCGTAGAAATACCGAAAGCAATATAAATTATAGTATTTTATAAAAGATCCGAAAAGCTGCAGGAAAATGTGCGTTTAATTAAAAATTCCGTACTTTATATCCAATCACACAACAAACGGTAGTTTGTTTTTTATGGGTAACCTTTTTACTGCATAAAAATTTAATATGTTATGTTAATATTGAATATTGTACAACCTCGTTAATGTTTAAAAGCAAATACGGAGAATACTGATTGTAATATTGACTTATGGTGCGAAGTCACAGACGAACAATTGTGGAAAGACCCAAAAAATTTAACCTTAAATTTGTCATTGTTACATAATTATATTAATTTACATGTAAATAAAGTTCTGTAAACGTTATAGCGCTTTGTAAAATTGGTGATTATGAATTTGCTGTTAATATTTTGAGTGAAAATGTCAGTTAATATTGAGTGAAACAAAGTCATTCGAAAATTTACAATTTTTTTATTATGATGCTTCCGAACAGCATAATAATAATAATCTCAACTCCTTATTTAGTTTTTACTGGTTCATTAAATTCCTTATACCTAATATGTCTGGAGTCAATAAAAATGATTTAGACTTTTCGTAACAACATTATTTTTTGTATATACACAAATAACCGAGCTTTTAATACAGTGTCATTAAGATTTATTTTTGAAAAAATATGCAGGGCCGGGTTTAGAGGTCTGGAGGCCCCTTGGCCCCAAATTATTTTCCAAATAAAATGAACAATTTTCTTCAGTCGCATTTTCCAATAAATAATTTATTGTTTAGTAGTGTTTACTAGTCTGTAATTTGAATTCTTTTTCCGAAGTCTCTACTGTGGGTGCCCTTTTTTTGTGGAGGTCCCTGGGCTGTAGCCCCGGTTGCCCTCCCATAAATTCGGCCCTGAAAATATTTAATTAAACCGGTTAATTATATAATAAGTTATAACGAGCGGCTGCCTCCCCAACATCAACTTTCCTTGGAGACAAACACCCAGATTCGAAACAATTCTTTGTGGGCGCCAAAAAACGTATCTCGTGTGGGAATCGATTCCGTGCCCTTGGTGCCGAAGCCTGTTTAGTAACTGCACCATAGACTCGTGCCCATTAATCTTTGACCACGCAATCTAAGACAGCAACTGCTTCATTTTTAGGTTTTTGTGAGCTTATGTTAAAATTTTTATTAATTTTAATCTATGATTAGATTAGAGTAAGAATTATCACTAGTAATTTATTTACATCATCAGTTTTTACTACAATGATTTAAAGTACTTAACAAAGAGCTTATGTAGAAAGAAACCAGTATCATCATAAAAGCATGTTGGTTTTACATAATTTAGATTTTTTATGTTTCGAAATACTCCAGCTAAAAACTACAATTTGTAACAAATTGTAATACAAAAGTTTAATTTTTACCTAGTTTAGAAGTAACAAGATAATATGGCTAGTGTTGTACTATTAATATGTGTAAATAGTTATTTTTTGAAATATAGAGCTTCGAGCCAAATTTCGTGAATTCAAAATTTGAAAGGATTATATTTGAAATTCAAATATATCATCATTAAATAAATAATTCAGTTCTTTGGGCTCTACGGCATTGAATGCCAAAAAAGGGAACAGCCTTTTTAATAAGTTTTAAACAGGGTAGGTACTAAAACTTTGGTTATCTATTCGTTATGTTGTATTTATCTGCAAGAGTAGATCGGTAAGCTGAGATGCATTAACAATGTCTACCCCTTGATTAGTTTCAAGAGTTGTCTTGAATATATGCTCATAAAACCAAGGTAACAGTGTTTAAAATGCGGTTGCAATCCACATGTCTGTTTACGAGTACAATGCGATCGGAATTTTAAACGATAAATGTTATGTACATTCCACTGTCCATAATCTGGCAATGGCCGAAATATCTTGGATTAGCATGTCTCTAGATAGAAGCTCAGTGATAGATTCATAAATAGTACCATGCCTTGATGTACAAATATTGAAAATGAAATGCTATTAATACAGTTAGTAATCAATTCTAGTAGCTATAATAATGGCAGCTAGTAGCTGTGATGTCGTACTTGCTATGTTAGGTTCATAAACCTCGTGCTCTTATCCCACATCGGTGAAGTCGGCACAATGGATCCGGAACAACTATTTGTGAGTCACACAAATACTTGTTCTGTCTGTGAATCGAACTCACGACCCTCGAAGCCAGTAGTTTGGCAACGGCGCCACTGAGTCCTCAAACTTGCTATGTTAGATTACAGATTCGAATTGATTTAAAATACCACAAATTTGAGTCTTTTTTTTGTATATTGTACAATTTAAGGGATAAATAAATATATAAAATTTGTTCCCAATGCTCGGTGACAAGGCTCCACCACCTGTCAAATTTTTTACAAAACAAGCTCGGTGAAACATTTTTTTACCGTGATAGGACTAAGCAGCAGCTTCTGATGTTGCATGAATGTGCGAGCTCGGCCGGGGAAGTACTACCCCTTCACAGAAGACCGGAGTGCGGTTTAACTTTTTTGAAGGCTGGCAACTCATGAGAAATAACTCCTCATGTGTTGGAAAAGGCTATGAGCGACGGTTATGGCCTAATATCAAACTCGCTTGGTAACTTTTCATATTAAAATAAAGAAGAAAAGGTCTTAATATTTTACCTCTGTCAGATTAAACTTGAGAGCTTTCTTGATTTTATTTACACACAATGGGAGACGAAAAGTATATAGATGACCAGAAGAACGGCATCGTTAGGCGTGCTTTGAGGCAAAGCTGCCATTCGGTGCAGGATCAGTAACGGTTTGGACTAGAACATCCTCAGAATGTCGTCTCTCGTTTGTCAGATATGTAGAGGATTTTAAATAATCTTGCGGTTCTTTTCTTAGTGAATATGGATGCAAATTCTATTTTTATGCAACTAACTAACGAGCGGCCCCATATGCTTAATTGGTCAATGCATATATTCAGGATGTCGGTATTATCTGCATGGGGTGGATAGCTCGCTGCTAGAATTAAATTCCATAAGAAATGTACCGGATGAGTTTGCAAGATGTGTCAAAAAACGCTTTCAAGCTCCAGGTTCCTGGAAAGCTCCAGGTACACGAGTTGAAGTATGCCTTAGTGGAAGAATGGTCAAACATAAACCAAAGTCGTATTGAAAGTTTGTTTTACAGCATACCACATCGTCTTAATAAGCTCGTGGAGGAAATGCAAAGCATTAAAACAATAATAACCTGTTATGGAAATGAATTTTTTTTTACTCTTCACAAAATTTTTATTAAATGGACTTATTACTAGTCTTTTAAAATATTAATATCAAAATTATTTACATAACTATTTTGTACTATACTTTTTGAGTAAAGAGCGTGACTAAGTAAATGGCATTAGATAATGGAGAAGTTGAAGCTTAGCTAACCTTTTACAAATAGTACAGTCAATGGTAATTTTGTAATATGCAAACAAGTTACATGAGCACTATCTAAATTTAAACAATGAACATTACGAAATTTGTTTTATTTAGAGATTGTTCAAGGTAAGGCTTTTTCCGTTTGGTCTGAATAGAGAATACATTTTATTTTGTTTGTACTTTGCATGGAAGTTTGTGACAATAACTTTCAAAGTACTAAGAAAATATTTTCAATATTAAATAATCAAAAATTTTGGGTTTTTATTTTGAAATGGATATTTCCGAAATGTATAAATGAATTCGAAAGATATAAATGCAGAGAAATTTGCATGAATTAAAAGTACTCGAAATGTGTTTGATTTTATGTGGAATATTTATGTTACCGATAAACTGTGTTAGCAACTGTGATAAGGCTGGCTAAACAGTTAAATTTTTCATTTACACAATCACGTAGGTTTAAGCTTAATACATACATTAACTAAGTCTTAAAAAATTGTCATTAAAGCCCAGTGATCCTAATAATCGCGACATTGGCGGAAATCCGAATCAGGACGTTTCTATCGTTTTATAAAAAAATATTTTGCAAATTCAAATGGGAAAGTTTTATTTCTCTTTTTTCATACAAGGTGACCCTTAGTTGGTAACCCTGTCATGTAAGGTGACAGGGTATCTTTTGAAGATTACCTTACCCCCCCGATACAAAAAAAAGGGTTCGGGCTTGGTAAAACGTGAACAATTAATACATAGTACCTTTCTTTTTCTTTTTTACCTGTTTTTTTTCTTGTATGTAATACAAGAATTACGTATTAAGTGTGTAAATGATCGTGACACGAACCGCGGCCTTCTGTTTGAGGACCGCCCGATTACCGACCGAGCTATTATAACATTTTTTTTCGGCGAAATTTACCGCCATATTCAAATGATATTTTTCATTCCCTGTAAACAGGGACAAAAGGACATTTTCTAAAAATGAAACCTAGCTAGATAGATTTTTCGCCCCTGAATCTACGCACATACTAAATTTCATGAAAATCGCTGGAGCCTTTTCTGAGATTCCGATTATATATAATATATACAAGAATTGCTTTTTTAAAGGTATTAGATTAGGTACTTGAATTTTTAGTCCTTCCATTAAACGTCGCTTGTATTTTGTTTTATTAAGTATCCGCCTAAGAAAGCGTCGATACTGGCTTTCCGTACCGTTAAGACCCATTTACACGGTGCAAGTTTCTTGCCTGTTGTATACAATTAAATTGAAGCAATAAATGAGTTGCATGGTCTAAACAACAAATGGTCTAACAAATTATTGCGCGCAATTTATTGCATTCAATTATTGCTCTTGTATGTACAAGAAAATGGCATCGTGTAAATGGGCCTTTAGGCACACCATTCCATTTCGTGGCTCCACGAATCTATATGTGCGTATAAATCAACTTAATCATGTGGTATTCGCACGTAATTCATGTGGGTTCTATCAGCACTGAAACGCAGTACTAAAGGTGTGCTCACATTCACGATTCGCTTATGTTTTGTAACGAGGCGAGAGGCCATTGTGCTTGCCCATTGTTTGCCGGTCGATGTGCAAATCTGTTTATAGAGTCCACCAACTCACTTCCCAAACATAATGCACGCGCACGTAAATGTAGATAAATATGTCAAATGTAGATGGCGTTTCTTAGTTTGATCGTTATTTTTATCTTTGGAATATATCAATTTCAGATATATTTTTTTTATAGTACTATTCTTTGCACTTAAGATTGAACATCATCATCACGAAAATCTTAACTTCTAGCTGGAAAGGATATAACAATGGATGCGCCAAGGATTGCTTCAAATGCTAATAAACAATGTAGATAAAAAGACGTTAAGATTTTCGTCAGTGTGGAAATCAGCCGTTTAGCTTAGTGGTTAAAGCGTCAGGCCGAGGATGCCAAAGACGTGGGTTCGATTCCCACAACGGCCACAACCTTTTCGTAACTTTTTCTACATATTTTAATATCAATTTCAATTAGTTACAAGAAAATGTAACTTATACACATGAACATACAAAGATTTTAATGTTGCAAAGCATATACAGCGTGTCGTTACCATCGCGACAATAAATGAACACACATCTAACGCTACTTGCCAATAATAATAAAAAAATATTAACGTTTAAAAAATATCCATAAATAAAAAAATATATTTTTCAAACAAACTAATTAAGTAAAAATGAAACAAAATTTGTAACACCTATACAACTACAACTGACTGATTCATACATTCAGAGACTTTTTCATTCGTTGTCATGGCGTCGCATTACAAGCCTCTCTTTCTAACAGTATGTTTTGTCTCTTTTATATTCATTAAACCCATTCATACGCTTTGTGACCTTTACAAATGAACTTTGCGTTACAGTTTTATACGTAAGGGTGTTCTAAAATTGTTTGTTTTGGAAAATTTAATAACTCTGTAAATATTGATGTTTAAAGAATGAAATGAATGAAATAAATTTTTGATAAAATTTTAAAAAGGTATCCTCTATATGTGTGTTCATTTATTGTCGCGTTGGTAACGACACGCTGTATACATGGCATGATAAAGCTCATACGCTTTATCATACCATGTATGTATGTTATGATGGTTTTATAATGATCACCAATAATCAGAGTTGTATTTGTTACAGGTAAATTTACGCTATACAAACACCTTCCATGTATCAAGAACATCGAATTCGACCATTTAAAACCGAAGGTTGGAGGACGAATAAATTCCCCACATAAGACTTACGAAGAAAATAAGATTTCAAGCATACAGTTGACACATCGGTTTTTAATCCGAGACCAAGATGCAGTTCATACGTGCTTTTTTCAAACGTATTACGGACGACCTGAAGATAAAGAAGCTGATACCGTTGAAAATTTTATTTTTTGTACACGCTTCTAGTAAGTAGCATGTTCCGTGTAAGCGTGTACATAGTTGTGCAATTGGTCATCTTCATGGTACAAGAATGGTTTCGCAACTAATAAATTGCTTTTAAATTTATGTGCTCGTGCTAGGGTATTGAATATTTCATAACACAAACAAGTTAAGTTCACGAGAGTGTAACTAATCTAATGATATAAAACGATTTCAATACTGGTTACTTTTCTTATTACGCTTCTCAATTAAATAGTGCTAATAAATAAAAACCTGAGTCGTTTTTTTATTATTATGTGGTAAACATAATGATGCAATTTATGGACAAACTGTTACTGTAAAATGAGATTTCTAAAAAAATCATTTCATTGTAGTTGAATCGGTACCACAGTCGAAATCTTGAAACATAAAGAAATAATATGCACTCGTGTCATCGCTTAATTGAACTCTTTAGAAACGAACTGTTAATTAGTATTCACTATTCACACAGTCCACATTGCCCTTCATTCATTGCAGCTCTGTTCGTACTGTACCCATACCTGACCATCCAAATGCGCGAGCTGGGCATCAACGTTGAAGAGACTGCCATTATGTCCGCCGTAACGCCAGTTATTTCCATAGTGATGCCGCCACTCGCCGGCATGCTTGCTGATAAAATTGGCAACTTCAGGGTCAGTACAGCAATTTCAAATTACTTGTTGAATGTCATTAAAAGTAAATGTTGACCTAATAAGAGTGTGGTAATTCTGTGAACAATTCTGTTCACGTAACTTCAGAAGTTACGTAAGTCATCATAGAGGTTTTTGGTCTTCTAAAACATGAAATAGAAATTATTAGAAACTGCAAACTAAGCATTGCGTGTGTTTTTTTTATTTGAGAAGGTGCCAAACGAGTTGGCAGTTCACCTGATGTTAAGTGATAACAGCCGCTCATTGACATTTGCAACAACCGTAGGGTTGCAAATATGTTACCCACTTTTATTCACTCATCAGACGAAACGCAGAAGTATAACACTTCTATTTCATGTCGGTCTTCTGAATGGTTAAGTACCTACCACGATACTTAACTGTCGGTCGGACCTGCCCATTCGTGCAATAGGAGACTGTGGCGTGGCCCTACCACATTTAGATGATACGTCATTAGTAGGTATTTTAAAGGAGCTCTTAGTTAAAACTCGATCTACTTGTATTGACATTAGGAGCGTCGAATGTATGAGTTTCCAGCTACGTATTCGTCTAACGTTCTGATTAAATTTAATTGAGTTAACTCACAATGACCGTATCGCAAATTACATCCAATTCTGGATACAATAACCTTTACCTTGTATTGTTGTCATGGCATTGTGGACGCGGCATACCCGCTCCTGCGTGTCGTATAGACACAGTGCGTCACTCATCGTTTGTACAGGAATCATCGTCTCTGATGTGTAATGCTCTGTAAAACCGGCGCTGTCCAAACCTATTGTTACAAGCATTATGTTGAAGATTTGATGCTATTATCGGAATATGCATAGCGCAGAGATAAATTATTTTGGATGAAAAAAAACTAAATTGTTCGCAAATACCGACGTCATTGCCATAATAATTGCTCGTTGTGATAACCGTTGTTATGAATTAATCCTGTCATTTTCCTTCATTTTCTGCTGTCTGAATTCGACCGATGTCTTCTTTGCAGAATGACTATTTCATCGATAATGCATAATTGCGACAGAAAATGTCGGTTCTGTGTAGTTTCGCTAATCGTTCCTCTTAAACGCTGCATCCTGTTTTTCTTTCAGCCTATAGTTTATGAGGTCCAATACGTGCCGAATACATCTTCAAAGTGAAAATTATTTGATAAAAAGAATATCCATAATAGCTCTTCAGTAATAAATTACTAATTTGACTTGTCATCACTACATAGTATAAACTAAAGTCGTCCCGTTGTCTGTCTGTCTGATCACGCAACGGATCTTGATGCGGTTTTTCTAGATACAGTGATTCAAGAGGAAGGTTTATATGTATAATACTTTGCATCCGTGTGAAGCCGGGGCGGGTCACTAGTAACGTATAAATGAAATTATTTATACGGATTATTATTAATTTTACGTTTTATTTTTAATTCTCAGTAATATAATACAATTAGCCTTCTGCATGGATCGGACACAAAATTAAGAATTAAAAAAAAATTACGGTAGCCCTTAAGGTTAACTATGACACTCAGACGTCCAACGCCTCAGTCTGTCCTGTAATCATGAACGCTGTAGAGGATTCTAAACGTTGGGATTAAAAATAAAACACGATAAATCCGTAAAAATAGGTTCATTTATAATGTGCAATCGCGCAAATACAAGAAATTATCATTGTCTTAACACAGTTGGGCTTCTTCTCAGCTAATTTGTAATATTCAAGTATTAAAAATATTTATTTATTTAAAAATTCATGTCATTCATACCGATGCATCAAATGACCATGATATCAGCATGGTAATATTGATTCTTCCCTGGTCAAAACATTCATTAGAGCTTTAACGAACCTTAGTTCGATTCCAATATTTGACATTTAAGAACGACGTGGGTACAAATAATTGTTGATTGACTCATTTATCGATAAATATGTCTTACCTCATGGATGGAAAATATAAAAGTCGATAGAGGCATTTAAAATCTTGCTATCAATGCTTATTATCAAATGGGATGTGCTCAGGCATTTGCCTTTTTTCTTATATAAAAAAATAATTTTAGAAAATGAAATCGTTATTACTTATATAAAGGCAGAGGTGTGATTAAAATTAATGACTATAGAAAGCATTAATTTAGGAGAACAATTGGGGGCTTTAGCTGCTTTTAGCGCTGTCTTCGGCGCTAGGAGGAGCATCAGCTTTGCTACTGTTGGCCGTGCCGGTGGGCAGAATCACCATCACCTATCCTCCAGCGGTGCAACTCGTCACGACTTGCGGCGATGGGGCTTTTCAGCTGCGCCCCGTGCAAGACTATCCCTGCACGCCGCTGCACCCATACGCGTTCGACGTCAACCTTACGTAAGTGCTTTAGGCAAAAGTGAAAAACGGTTAAGCATTCTTCAAAACCGGTTATTACACAAAGTTTGTATACATGTTTTCGCTGATATCCGAGTATGCATATTAGTCAGGGAAAGCTGAGTGAGAAAAATAAGATTTAAGAAAAGTTTTATTTATATTTATGATATCGACTCTTATCTCAGAAAAAAAAAATTTGAAAATATGTTTTACTTCATGGAGTCCTTTACTTATATCAAGTAAAGGTGAACATAGATTAATAAAAGTTTTAAAATTTGAAACATTTCCATCAACAACGTATGAAATGCAGATATTAAATAGTTAACTAGTGCCTAGGTTAAACAGTAAATTCGTTTTGTTTTCTTGTTAAATGTCATTACTAACTTCCGCAAAGTGTGATCAAATACAAGTGCTAGCAAATTAAATGTTTGTATGTAAAGTTATTCTCTTATGGCGCAGGATCTCGTCTTGCGGGTTTGTGTGCGAGATACCGAGCGAGACCTCGGCAAAGGAAATAGAATCCATGATTCACGCAGATTCATACGATGTTCGCCTGCAATCATATACCAATGATCAACGTATATTATACCGCCACACAGTTTCGTCGTATCTTCCTAAAACGAAAGTGCTTATGAAGGACCAGAGCAACTCCCGCATTATGGCAGACGATCCATTCTTTAATACAACTATATCGAAAATTTCTAACCACGAGATATTCTTTCCTACACCGCGGCTGTACAAAATGCAGTGTACTAAATCGGAAAAGAACGCGACGTGCCTATTTGGAAGGAAAACTTTTCTGAGTGATCTGGACGATGGAAATGATGTGCAGGATGTTGACACTGCGTTCCACGTGAGGATTTCACACGACGCACATCAAGCCTCTACGGACGTCAAGGATTATTGGGTTAGCGCAATATCAGTGGTAAATGGAACTAAATTTGACGCAGACTATGAAGGTATTGACAGTACGACTTGTGAAGATAATTTTCTTGGGGTAAGTTAGTAAATATACTTTGATGTTACCAGTTAAAGTTTCTGTTCACTATAAATGAATGTGCTATCTGAAACGCTGTAAGTACTCCTTTATCATAGTTAAAATAACAAATGTTGGCAAATTTTAAAATCTTTATGCAACAAGTTTCTTACATAATGTAGTAGGTATAGTTATCAAATACGTGGGCAAAAAGTAAATAATGTAGTAAGTGATTTATGCCGGTGGAAATCTGTAATGTACGAAATAAGATTTTGACAACTAAAAATATAGGTTTAAAATAAATAACAAAATTTTGCATAAGACATGATTTTGAATTGGCTTAGTGGTAGGATACGTGGTGGTTAATTATTTTATAAATAAGTGACTTTTTCAGGTGGAAAGTGTGGACAGCATACGTGTGAAAACGGGTTCGCGACTATTGACAAAGTGTTTCTCTGCGTGCGCTGCGTTGACTCCCAGAAGGAATCTTTGTGAGAATTTACAACAACAAATTGAACTTGATCCCATTTTCACGTTCTGGGCTTACATGGCTGTAAGTATCGATGGTTAAAATGTTGAATAAAAAAATATTGCAAACCCGATCATCCGTTTTGGCCAAAAGGGTGAAAACGCAATATTAGTAATTGTAATATTAGGACAGCCTAAAAATAAACAAAATCATATGAATTTTAACGGCGCTATTAGCGTGATTTTTATGATTGGTTATTGTTGTAAATTGGTTGTCCTGTTCACATTGATTAATATATACTTTTCATTTTGCTGGTATTTATTATGTAAAAATATTGAACGGTGTGTTTGTTTAACGGCTATGAGAGTGTCACTGATTTATTTAAAAGGTACGAGTAGTGGGCTGAGTGGGTTCGTTAATAGAAAGATTATGTGGCAATCGTCGTTAACTGGGTAATAGCGAACTTGACACGAGACGGAGAGAGGGAACGGCTTCGGCCAATGTATCCGTTTTCATTCCGCTTGTGTCGGCATACGACTACGAGATCATACGCACTTACTACAACAAATATGAGAAAATTTCATATTAAAAATTGCAATTATTATTATACCGGAATAACACTTTAAATATAGCACTAATGGAATATCTTTATGTATAGCTTTTGATAATCGGTTTTAAAATAAATGAAAAACTCTAATACATATTTAATCAGCTTGTAATTGATCGTTACGTGGTTGTTTTTTTACGCTGTCATCAAATGATATAAGAGAATAAAAATGTCATATTTTTTATGAACAAACTCCGTATCTATATCTATTAATAGATCGCACCTGATTTATTTTAATATGTTTTATTAACACGACAAGCTTAGAAGCTAGCCTTATGCGAGTAGTCATTCGCACGTAAGACCAAATATACTTTTTCAAAATAGCCTTGTCCCAGTTGGTTTGAATGCAACTTATAAGTCAGATGTGTTGTTCAGTATACAACAGCGTGTCGTTAAAACCGCGACAATAAATGAACACACGTCTAACGCTACTTGCAAATAATCATAAAAAATATAAAACGTAAAACAAAAAATATAAAACGTTAAAAAAAATATTTAATTAAATAAAAAAGAAACAAAATTTGTAACATCCTATACAACTACAACTGACTGATTCATACATTCAGACATTTTTTCATTCGTTGCCGCAGCGTCGCATCACAAATCTCTCCTAACAGTATGTTTTATCTGTTGTGTTCTAAAATGGTTGGTTTTGATTTAGGGTCGCGTTAGTGGCGACACGCTGTATGTTTATAATAATTCTTGGCTATATCAAATCAAATCTGGAAACACTATTTGTGCGACCCACAGATAGTTGTTTCGCATCTGGGTATTAGTCCCCGTGCAATTTATGTTTGTAAAACGTCCTTACAACACAGAATAATGTTATCCTAGAGTAACAAATATATATTTATTCACATAGACGCTTGCGCGTTCTTATGAAACGTCAAAATTTTACATAAAATTTAATACGTTCCTAAGTTACCACCGGTTCGCCAGCACTTTCTGTTCAGAAACCGGCAAGAAACTCAACAGGTGCTCTTTTTTTTAACGATTAGTCCATACTAATATTATAAATGCGAAAGTAACTCTTGTCTATCAATCTCGCTTTCACGCCAAAACTACTGAACCGATTTAAATGATTATTTATATTTTTTAATTGGAAAAACTTAAAAAAAATATGTATATTTTAAAGAAAGATATTTATTTAAGGGTTTCAACGCGACCGAAGCCGCGGGCGAAAAGCTAGTTTACAATATAATAGAACAGGTATAAGTCTTATTTTAGGCTACGTGAATATCAACAGTATTAACCCCGCATTGGCGTCGACTAGATATTTCGCTATGGTATAATATGCCTTAGCCATAAGTTCACTTTTAATTTTGCGTTTAAATTGATCAAGTGGCAGACTGTAACTGTGTGACTATCGACTGTGGGATTTTATTATACATGCGCACACTTTGCCCCATGAACGACCTTTTTGTAGACGAAACAATGGCGTAGTTAATTTTTTCTTATTTTTAGTATTCAATTTATGTCTGTCACTATTCTTTACGTAACAATAATTAGAATTATGTCTAATATACAAAATGTAACAGGAGATATATTGGGACGCAACAGTAAGTATATTAATCTCTACAAAAAGATCTCCGAGTGTATTCTGGGCTCCAATGTTATAAATTGCTGGGACTTTTTCTGAAATCAAATTAAATAAGAGATACGATATAAGCATGAAATAAGTTTAAGCAATAAGTTATGTTATTGCTTACAAATAGTTTTTATTTTTAAACTTCACGCACAGTACATAGGCGGACTTAATGCTGACAGCATTTTCTATCAGTGTGGTAGAAAATGCTGTCAGCATTACGTCCGCCTTAAACTTAGGGTGGTACCGAGAAGCTGAGGTAGGCGCACAAACTTATTGAAGAAAAAAAAGCCACCGAAACATAGATCACGTTTTTAATCTTATTGACAACGAAATAAATAAACTATAAAACAATTTAGATAAGAAAGTTTAAAGAGAAGATATATTTAACAAGTTTTTATAGCCGAAATAAGAACTAATTTAAGTGCTTGAGAATAAAAGAATGAACCTCCAAGAAGCGGAAGCATTGTTCAGACATTTTTGCATTTTAGTGTGAGTCGAATTTCGGTTGCAAATGTCAGATCTTTATTTATACTTATCGATTGATGTCCGCATTTTAAATTTGAATTGCAGGTATCCACAGTAGCGTTTTTTCCGATTGTATGAATATATTTCGTTGGATAGAAATACTAGAAATACAAAATGTTCTATATTTTTTGCAAATTGGTCATAACTGGTCATAAAAATTTAATGGTCAATACAGTATTTGTATAAAAATAATAATTTTCCGTCTATTCTACATGTATCTACAATTTTTAGTGCATCATTTATAATTGAATAATTTCAAAAGTCAAATGTAAAGACTTAATTAATAAGTAAATGTGAATATTCTTACATTTTTTAATTAATGAAATGAATTAAAGACGATGTACTACTAAGAATTGTAATGAAAATTTTTCTTTTAGGTGCGGGTGTTCATTGGTATTATAGGTGGTACAGCCTTCGCCATGTTCGAAGGCGCCGTGATCGCCATAATAAGGGAGCAAAGAGCAGACTATGGTCTCCAGCGGGTATACGGAAGTATCGGTGGCATGATCTCGTCGCCTCTCTCCGGGTTGCTAATTGACTACGCTAGCAGAGGGAAAGGTTATACAGACTTCAGGTACATTTCAAATGTAATCTTTTTACCGTGTAACTCTGGTCCATGGTTTAAATTTCTACTAAAAATGAATCGTTTGCTGATATAATTTATAATGTTACTACATTATCATCATTATTAATTATGAAAATACTTTTTACTTTATGTTTTCCCTGTAATTAATTTTTGTAATTAGGCGACCAATTTTATGCATCTACTTCTTTCTAGTTGACGTGTATTATATACTTAAATTGATGCAATATATTCAGATTTTAGAATAGAATAAAAAAGATTAAATATCATATGAGGACAATTAATAAATAGACACTAGAAATAACTGGAGAATATATATACAGGGACATTTTTTGAGAAGTGCCCAAATTTACACAGGAGACTCGGTAGTATAATCGTTTATTGAAATAAAAAACAAAGGTTTTTTTTTCCAAAAAAATGCTATTCTTTTCCCTAAATAAAACCGTTTAAAAACTTTAAAGTTAAACGGTTTTATTTTATGTGCACTGAAAACTACAATATTGTATTGTCATCTAAATTAAATGTGTGTACCAAATTTCAGATCAATCTGACAACGGGAAGGTGCTTAAATTTCAATTTTTGATTTTGACCCAAATAAATAAACAAATTCCGTACGGGTCGAGCTAAATAAAACCGTTTAAAAACAGAACGTGTTGACAATGCGGTAGTCATTCATAAATATCTAAATTTTACTGTGCACGAATTTTTGTGCGTGTTAGTTATGATTGATCACGCGTAAAATAATGAGTTGCGTATAAATCACACACTTTTTGAGATAAGTTCAAATGTATTCATCATTTGAACTTATTGATATTCAAATCAAATTTTGCATACTGTGTGCAGTTTGATCCAAATTGAGAGATAGGTTAGTTTATATCTGTACAATTCTATTACTTTATACGCGTATAAATAATTTCTTGTAGACAAGCGATTTAAAATCTTAACGTGTGCATGTAAAATGCACAAGTGGATAAGTTTTCATTAAGATATTTCACTTACAACCCAAGAATTAAAGTGCTTATACTAGTTAAAAAAAAGAATAGATATCGATTACGCGTATCGAACACGAGGCAACTATTTAATTAAAAAATGCATATTGTAATTGCAACTCTTAAGTCACAATACCGCCATCCGATTAGCATACGAAAATTAATACTCGCCACCGCGCGGTTTAAGATATCGGCGTATCATATTCGGCTTTCTATATGAGCCGTACTTTACAGGCCAGCCTTCTATTTGTATGCTGTTTTGAAAGTGGTTACCGGAGCGTTGATGCTGAGCATCAATCTTGAATTCAAGCAACCAGCTCAAAATCTTCTCGACGATGTGATATCAGTATTCCGGAATGTTGAAATCGTAGCATTGTTCATTGCTTGTTTTATAATGGGTAAGTCAATAATTCAATATAAGTCATTTATTATTCATACAATATTTTTCTTAGCGATATTATCTATTCGTTATTTTAGTTTATAAAGAAATGTGTGATTGAGTGAACGTTAAATGTTATCGGATGGGTCTCCTGCAATGAAATGGTCTATACCATACGTAATAGTCATAAAATACAAAAAAATTGTTCGTCGTATGCCCATTAGGTCAGCATAAAAATATATAAATAGGCAACGATTCTGGGGATGTCCGGTCCTCTAAGGCACCCTCGAATCAAAATGCTAAACGGGTATTGAGTAACAGTGGCTGATCCAGCCAAAAAAGGGAGGTGTATTAATTTGAAAACAAACTGTCGGAGACAAAACATCAAGAGCTGTTATTAAGTTAGTTCACAACGGGGGGAAAAATTTTTCTAGCGGGAAGAATATCTACTGAAGATGAACACCGCAAATTATGTCCTCCTACATCCGAAACCTTGCAAACTAAATACATATGGTGTCGAGAAAGTTAACCAGCGAGGTTTAAGTGCGAATCTCGGTAAGTTCTTGGTACCTATATTAGGAACATTTTTGTCACGTCTGGATAAGACCTCGATCCACCATTTTGATATAGAAACCAAACAGCAATCTGAGACCTGGAAGTGATCCCTTTCACCGACACCGAAGAAATTCAGCGGTTATGACATCAGTTTTTTATGGACGCTGAAGAAATTATTATGCTGGACTATTTGGGAAAGAACGCCACCGAATCAGGCTCTTACTACGCAGACCAAATAATGCGAGGGGCTATTAAAGAAAAAAGACTACGCGGCAAATTGAGAACCAGAATGCTGTTTTATAAAGACAAGGCACCCGTTCACAAGGCTTTAGTTGCCAGCCATCGCAATTCAAAAAACAGGATTCGAACTGCTTGAGCACCCATCCTTTTCTTTATCTAGCTCCCAGACTTCTTCCTCTTTCCTCGGATTAAGAAACACCTTCGAGATAAGAAATATGAAGAAGATAGCGAAGTTTTGGCGAAGCGAAGTGTTTAGGGAGTGTCAAGACAAAGGATTTTTTTTCTAAGGGTGTCCCGGGTTTAAAAAAAAGATGGACTAAAATATGTAGTTATTTGTTTCATAGTTTAATCACCTTGGTTTATATTCATTATTATTACTTTTATATTATCGTACGTGATAAATAAATAGTGTAGGCATTCTAATTCAAAGAGAAATGGAAGAATTACATTACATTACTGAGGAAACGGAATCAAAAATCAAACAACTCTATACCATTCCAGAAGAATGATACTCTGACACAAGGCCAGGTCAAGGCTGTCTTATATTATATTTCAATCGGGTGCTATTTGAAAATAAAGATCACGATCTATGCTTTAGCAATTCTTATCTATATTAACTAAATTTAACTTGCTTCACGTATAAATATTTGATTGCACGTGTAACAACTTTTGTACGTTTTAGCAACCGTTTGACTTTCTTAGTACGGTAATAAAAATAAGAAGTTTAAATAGAATTACTAATAAGCAATACAAACTTAAATAAAATAAAAAGTGACATTGACTTGAAATTGATTCGTGCAAAATTTTCTCTCACTACCGTGATCAGTCACCGAATGGTTACATAATTATGAGCAAATGAGTATTTATCAATTAAAGGTATCATATTTTGAAGAAAAACGTTTTTTCAGTCTATCTCTCTTTTAAAAAACTATCAATTATAGCACATAATTTAAATTTTTAAACGAATCGATCGACGATCTTTTATGACTACATACCTACATTAACTTTATTTAATTTTTATTTATATTTGTGTACACGAGGTTTATTATATATATACATATTTATGTAATTGAAACCATTTGAGGATAATAAGATGTAGAAAATGAATTATGCCTATTTATTACTAGAAGCAATAATGCATGTCGTGCCTTGTTTTAGTGTGAAGGTCTCATGTCAGACTGTGTGATTAGTTATCTGTAAATATATTTATGCTGATTTAATGTTAATAAAATTAGATAGCATTTTATTGGCGTAGTGAGCTATTTTATTGTTACAATAATTAAAGATTATGCGAATAAAATACATTATTTGATCATATTTCAAACCAAATCAATGCAATCTAAAATGATTCCAGTGCGAGATGGTTACATGGATGTCTTATGTAATATAAAACCATAGTGCCTGGATGGCCGAGTTTTGCTCGGTTTTTATTTCTCACAAAAGAAGGAAAGGTTTTTATTTCTCACAAAAGAAGGAAATTGAAAAAAAAAATCATCTGGATTCATAACGGAGTTTTCTGGTTTCGGGACCGCCCGGTTTCCCTCCTGAGCTATTACATAATTAGGTCACACTTGAACTTTTCGGATCCGACCACTTACATAAACAATATTTAAGTAATTACAACATTTTAAAATGGAAGTCTTTGGCTGTAGAATGCAGTTTGTTCCATCTGGCTGTCAATTTTTTATACTTTGTGGCGCCAGTGTATAAAATTGCGTGTATTTAATCCGGGAAAATTTTCGTAGTATGATTTTTAAGATCTTAAGTGTAATTTGACAGTCCAGCAGAACCTCGCTCGGCTTCAATCTGCTTTTGGCGATGAAGCACCATGCCAGACAATTATTTTTAGCTGGTTTGCGGAATCAAGTGTGGTTGTGTCAATCTCAGTAACGAATCTCGCCATCAACAACAAAAACATCGATGTTATGTGCCGTATGATTGCAAAAGACAGGGATGTGACATCCTTAGACTTAGACAACATTTCGGTGTGAGAAAACTGTGCTCGCGGTGGATTCCACACAATTTCACCGAGGCTCAAAAATGGACCGCGTCACTTGGTGCATTATATCATATTTGGTATGGGACATATATTCTATCTTTATATTTGACACCTGTTAGGTGACGAAACATAGAGTTATTGCTATGATCCCAAAACAAAGCAACAGTCGAGCGTATGGGTCTTGGAAGATGAGCCAAAACCAACCAAAGCGGCGCGCGGGCACGAGTTCGAACGAGTGTTCAGTACAAGATAACTAGTTAGTTAACTAACTAGATAGTGAACTCGTCATATAACTCGATAGAAAATAATCTCTTAGTTGTAGCTTCAGGATAAAATGTCAACAATCAAAGATAATGTTCACAAATGTTTTATTTAATGTTTAGTTTGATTCCATTAATTCCATGTTTTTAATTTTAAATGTTATTCGTAATTCTAAAGATAAACTTTTCATTTATTTTTATAATTTGATCATATATTCCTTTATATACCAATTGATTACAAATAAATTAAGATAACTTTAGAAGAAAACATCCGTAATAGAACAAAGATAACCGTCATACCTCAGAAGTTTAGTGGTGACGGGAGGCCTGAGGCCATACAGCTTGTAGATTCGATAACCGATGGGGAAGAAAGGTTCTTGAGTGGCAGCCTCGTACTGGCCATCGCAGTGTGGCATCATGGCAGTACGTTGGGAAGGCAAAACTCAAACAAGCTGAAATTATGAAGATAATGTAGCTTTTATTATTGTATCTTTTTCATTTGTTAAGTAACATGTTAAGTAAGTTAATTTTAGTTCATTGACTGGCAAAATCGTTACGCTTCTTCAATGAAAAATTTTTTCTAATGTTTTCCTAAGCTTTGTGTAGAGTGCAATAAATTTTAATATAACATCTTAAGCGTGGTAGTAGCCAGAATTCCGGGCTTTCAGTATACTCGAGCAGCTTCAGTACAAAACACGATACTAGCATTAATGAAATTGACTGAATTACAATATATATGTGAGGCGATGATGGATAACGTTACGAAACCTGAAAAACTAGAAAGCAGTTGAAAAAAATAAGTTTTCGAGATGGGAAAACAGGAGACGGGAAAGCTTCAGTCAGAAGGAGACATTTGCCCAACAGTCTCGTGAAAGTAGTAAAATATGTTATTAAAATTTTGTTCTTTTATTGTACTATAGCGGGTAGTATGTAGTAATAGTCATGTAATGTGTGGAATTTGTTTTTTATGTTCTCGCGTGATTCGTTTCGTGAATTTTGTCGTGCGTCTAATAACATTCAATAACAGAGGCCCAACGCATATGCATCTTCCAACTTCTCACATTAAACCTTTAGCTACCTTAATTGTATCGTTACGATATGCATCCTATAATTGATTCATGTAAGTTGGCTGAACTTTAAAAGCACGTTAACATTTGATTTCAGGTACTGCGTGGGGGTATATCGAAAGCTTTTTGTTTTGGCTTTTGCAAGATTTAGGTGCGTCGCGCTCCTTGATGGGTGTGACAATCACAGTCGGCGGCATTGCAGGGCTACCACTTCTGGTACTCTCGGGACCTATTATCAAAAAGTTAGGTCATGCAAACGTATTATTCATCGGATTCGTTTTCTACGCAATAAGGTTACTTGGTAAGACACATCTTATACATATATTGTTATATATTGTAAAACTATTTTTTTTTTATGTGAAAAGTTGCCAAGCGAACAGACGGTTCACCTGATGTTTAGTGATTATCGCCGCCCATTGACATCTGCTACACCCGAGGGTAACAGATGCGTTGACAACCTTTTGAAAATTGGACTCCGGCTACCTCACTCACCAGACGAAACGCGAAAGTATTATACTTCCACTTTACGCCGGTCTTTTGTGAGGTCATGCTACTTACCCGGACGAACTTGCCCATTCGTACAACAGCCGAGGCTGATGCGTGGCCCTACCACCGTGTAATAATATCTCGCCTCGTCTATCATTAAAACGATACTTAGAAAATACAAACGCGAGTACATTTATTTTAAATTTGTTGATTTATGATTAAATAATGTATTTGAATTTATAGACTTTGTGCTTTATTGATCGTTGGCGTTGAAAATTTTTAAACATGGTTAATTTGTGTAATGTTCGAGTTTTGCAGTCAATGAATCATAATGTTTGGAATATAACGTTAAAACCTTTGATTGTTTAGTGATTCGCATTATTTCGCCTTTCATAAATTTTAGATATAAAAGTAAAGTAACAGCCTATACATGTCCCACTGCAGGGCAAAGGCCTCCTCTATATAGAGGGTATCAGGGCATAGTCCACCACGCGGCCCCACTGCGGATTGGTGGACTTCACATATTTTCGAAATATCTATTTTTTTTGTTATTATTTCGAAAATATGCAGGTTTCCTCACGATGTTTTCCTTCACCGCGGAGCACGTGATAATTCAGCACTTAAAGTTAAAAACTTCATTGGTGCCGGCACCGGGGATCGAACTCAGGTTACTCGAGTATATTGAATTAAAGGCGAGCGCCCGGACACTGAGCTATCACGGCTAATTTTAGATATAATCAATGAAATTATCACAAGTCATTACTTGTTTTGAAACGGCGTAATCGACCGTTGTTACTCCATACAATTGCATATTTTAGGGAAATCTAATCGTTTGTCGCTTCAATAATCTGAAAAGTAATAATCTATAAAAACTCATATACATTAAAAGAAAACTGTTGACAGTTTTGGCGGAAATTTGTATATAAAATAGCAGAAAACCTTTTTAATAACTTCTGAAAAATTTTACTCTCCGTTTAGGTATGGCGTTTAATTTGAATCAATTACTTAGGATTAGGAAAGAAAAGAGAAAGTTACACATATGTTTAATCTTGATTGAAGCATATATGTCACTAAAGAAGTAAACTGGAAATACGTTACAAGTGATCGTGAAGTAGTGCCGGTGTAAGGTTTTCTATGGTTCGATTCTATATGTGGCAATACCGTGATCGACATAGCTACATATAGAAGTGTTGAATACTTCTTGGCATTTATATTCATTTTCTAATAGAAAATATACGTCATTTGACTAATGTAATATGTCAAATTTATTAATGAACAAAAAATATTAACAATATTAAATATAACTAAATTATATGTTATCGAATAACTCCACACGGCATGCTCTCAAGAACGATAGCTGCATTTCCTCGCCGAATTGTTAAGCTTAACATTTGAGTGAGAAAAGAGCTAGGCCTCTGTCACCAACCGCGGCGATAAGTCTACGACCTAAACCATCAAAGATTTCTATGTGCAAGCACACTGACCTAAGGTTCAAGAGGAAACAAGAAATACGATAATCATATGTTTATAATTTTTTTTTTTTTTTTTGGTTAATCTGCATTGAAATAAAACTTCAATCTTTTTTTAATTGTTATAATCGTGACTTTCACCCGTGGGAATTTCGGCCGTTCAGCTCAGGTAAACTGAACCAAGCCACCATCAACCAGAGCTGACAGAGGTTGGGGGCGGGTTAACTAAGGCGCAGGTTCGAATCCTGACAGCGTTGAAATTTGCGACAATGTGTCTAAAGTAACAGCCTATAAATATCCCACTGCTGGGGTAAAGGCCTCCTCTTTTACAGAGGGTATCAGGGCATAGTCCACCGCGCGGCCCCACTGCGGTTTCGCGAACTTCACATATCCTTGATTTTATTTTCGTTACTATTTCGGAAATATGCATTCTCGTTATTATTCCTCGCGATGTTTTCCTTCACCTTGAGCACATAATAAAGTGTCTATGAAAGTCTATGTGTCTACGTAAATGTGTCTAATAAACACGCTATATAGTGTTATAGTTTCAAATATAAGAATAAGTTTTTAAAATATTTTACATGGTGTACCTAGTGTGTTTTAAAGCTGAGTAATACGTGACAGCTTATGATGAGAAATTATAATTATCTTAATTTTAAAACATGTAGAAAAAGTACGAAAAGATTGTCGCCGCTGTGGGAATCTAACTCACGTCTTCGGCTTTCGCAGCCTGACGCTCTAGCCACTGAGCTAAACGGCTGATAGCTTAAAAAAACACACAGCGACAAAAATCTTAACGCCTTCCTTCTACATTGTTGTGTTAAGTGCAGAGATTAGCACTATAAAAAACTTTAAAATTTATCTTAATTTTTTTATAATTACGTTTTATATGGTACTATTTGCTGCCGAATAAGGGCTTTGGTTGCTCGAAACAACTATTTCAAAATACAGGGTCAGTTTTTGTATTTACAATGTTTTTATTGCGTTATTTGTAAAGCTAAATATAGAGTAGTATCACGGTCATTAGCCGGTATAAAGCATTAAACAATTTTTTTTAAATAAATGCTATATAAATGTCATTGTACCATGAATAACTGAGCTTTACGAGTGTGATTTGGATAATTCTTTATCTTGTAGGTATACTGATTTATGTATCAGTAATATATAAATCAGTTAACCAATCACCGATATTTAAGGCTCATCATTTATATTTATCCGTGTACCGTATCAGAAAATATATTTTATTACTATAATAATATTTACATAAATTTGTTTTAGTTATTTAAGTTATAACACTTTAACGATTTGAAGGAACAACTAGAAGTTAATAAATATAAATTATATATATTAATCATAATTTATTAATATCTGATATGAATATATAATGTCACATTATTTTTAAGCATAAAATATTGCAAAAATGTCTTTTTTGTAGATTGTTGATATTTAATAATTTTCCCAACGCATTCACATTGCCAAATAGGCATAGTGTATTGAGAACTATTATTAGACAGATTTCAGTTGGACACTATCTTGTGAGTGTTTTGTTGAGAGGGTTGAGAGGATCAAACGTTGGAAAATACGTTATAATTAATTCTTGTTTCAGGTTATTCCCTCATTTACAACCCTTGGCTATGCTTAATTTTCGAGGCGCTGGAGTCGGTGACGTCATCGCTGTCGTTTACGGCAGCTGTCACGTATGCGGCTCGATTATCCTCTATCACGACCGACACCTCCGTGCAAGGACTCCTCGGCGGCCTTTACTATGGTGTTGGTATGTATAGGTACTATATGACACATTAACGTTGCCACTATTATATTAACATCAACCTGTCAAGGCTTTCGCTTGAAAGCAGAGCCAAGAGTTTACATTATCTGTCATAAAGTCTGTACCGCTGAGACGACCATTGTGATATGTTATTGTGAAACACATTTTAATAATAGTTGGCGTAATATTTCTACTTTATGTTAATGTTTCGATCTGCCCTTAAAGATAGCTCTTAACGAATGATTCATACTAATTTCCTTTCTAGGCAAAGGAGCCGGAAGTCTAATTGGTGGCTATTTGATGAAATTCGTCGGTACCAGACCGACATACCAAATATTCGCTCTTGCGACGTTCTTGACCGGATGCGTCTATTATTTATTTAACAAGTTCTACATTGGTAAACGGCCATGCATCGACGACGAAAACGACATCTGTAAGAAGAGGCCTATAAACTTAGACGTGGAAGGTTGCGATGCAAGCAAGATCCAAAATGATAAGACTTGTCCGCCACAAGATGTCGCTACTAAGAACGGTACTAATAATGTGAAAAGTCCGGTCAGTGAGATTTTGAAAATTACAGATTTAAATCAACAAGCGAAATTTTTATCTGAAGTAGACGGTGGCAGTGACTCTGGTGTAGACAATCCAGCGTACAATGATGGCGAAACTGTTAATAATACGCCGCAAAGAAATGTTTGCAAAACAACAAAATAACTGAAAATTTGTGATACATAATATATTTGTATGAACACTTACAAACTAGCTTTACGAAATTGTATAGAAATATCGTAGTTTGATGTAAAATATAGTAACGTTTTAATAATTAATTTAATTTCTAATAGCCTAAATAACAATTTTTTTTTCTTCCTGAAACTTTTATTAAGAACTTAAATTAATAAGATTTTCAGTTGTAAGATTTGTTGAAGTTGGAAGTTGTTTTGAGAACATATATAAAATAAAATGTAGTAGTGTTGAAAAGCGTGCTACAGAACTGATGAATAAAATCAATTTAAAAAAGGAAACAATTACTAAATGTAACTATTTTTATTTTGTTTTTTTTTAATTTTAACTCACTACGTTTCGAACCCCTACAGCGCTCATGGTCAAGGGACATACAGAAGGAAGCGCTGGACGTCTGAATGGCACTGTTAGCCTGGGCTATCGCTTGTTTTTAAATTATTGATGTGTGTCTGCTCAACGCAAAAGGTGCATTGTTGTCTTGCAGTAGTGTTTCGTTTGGGTCTAGGTTTAATTTTATTAATGATTAGATCCCAAATTGATGGTAGCACACAACCCTCTTGTACAGTAATTAGGATGTTTTTCCATTACCATAGGCTCGTAAATCATTCTTGGGAGGAATCGGTGTTTTTATGGAGGAATCGGTGTTCTTATGGAGGAATTTGTTATCTATCAAACCTAATAAAATGGTTGCGGCAATTTAAGGCGTGCTTACGGAAATTAGCAAAAGTTTTTCTAAATTTCATACAGGTCAGTTCCTGGTGTCGAAAATTGAATTTAGTACGATATTTCACATTCTTAAAACAACATATGACATACAATTTTCAAGCTTATATCCATGCTATTTGGCTCAAGTGTTTTTAATGCAAAAATACACATTACTTTATGAAACTTTATCATTTTAATTTATTAAAAGTATTTTTATGCTTTTGTTGCAGTAAATTTATGGTTATGAGTTCAATGATTAATTAATTATTATAAGGATAGGAAGATGATGCATCTGTACATATGAGTTGGTTATGTTGGAATTATAATAATGTATAAAAATATCAGTTCCTTCAGTTAATAGGGTTGCTTTCGTTCACATTTCTATAATTATATATTATATTGAACAAGTATATAAAATATTTTGTAGTAAAAGTTCAAAATAGTCCGGTAAATGTTTTTCTAGCGATATAGTAGCTGATTTACAGCTTACTTAACATTGATATTGTGCAGTAAATGAAATGAGACTTTTTTAAAGCTGCCATTTTAGTTCTCAGTAGGATTGTGTTATATTATTCTTTTTATATTAATTCTCATGAAGTGGTTTTTTTTTATTAAAAATATGGTAAGTGATGATCTGATGAAATCACCTCCACCTTTTAATAAAATACTTGAAATAGTTTTTCGAAGGAGAATACTTCCGTATGTAAGAAACAGTTTCAGCACTTTTATTTGGAAATGCTTTAAATATTTTATTCAAATATGGAACACTTTCTATATTTCCTTAACTGCGTCTGACATTGACTATCCCGCTAACCAGTGTAAATTAGAGTCAGTACGCGGGTCATCTCAATCGTGCTTCAGGTGTTCCACATAGTGCAGTACCGCTAGAAATTATCGCAATTTTATTACCATTATGTCGCCTGGTTCGACATACTGGATATGAGAGCATAGTGTTAAATTCATCATTGTGAAGTTGGGCCTCGAGTTGAACACTCGCTACGAATCGCGAAATTCAAATGCAGTGTATGCTTTTAAAATGAAAGTCTTCACAATAATTTCGCCTTTATTTGTAATTTGTGTGTTATATAAATACAATGCTGAAGCACTAAATTTACCTGGACCCATGGTGTATGTTGTAACGCCGTCACCTCGTCCGCCACAAATCAGCGAAGGAAGGTCGGCACCGTTTTACTATCATAACTGGATGCGAAGAATGGATTTAGGACCCAACTCCACGACTACGGCTTCACCAACTACGACCTCTTCAAGGGTGAAGACTCCAGACTTGATTTTCGCCGAATTTGAATCAGATAATGGTATGCAAAAAAGTATTAGAAAATTGCTAGAAAAAGAACGCGTCAAAACTAGAACATCTACAACATCCCAACCGATTTATGTTCCCGATGAAGAATTTCAACCTGTCACTGAAAAAACGAACTATGTTTTACCGGTTTCGAGCGACGAAAGCCATGAAGACAACGAACATAAACAAACTGAGTACTTCGAAAGTTACAGTAAAGTGTATAATAATAATCCTGCACCAATTTATATACCAACTTCTACGGATTCGATTAGAACTACCACAGTTGCTACAACATCGTCAACCCATGCATCTTTAAGTAATGTGGAAAATATTTGGCATATAATTGACAGTGAAAAATCAAGCCATAATACGGGCAAGTGGGAGGAAGTTCCTGTTGGAATAAATACAGAGCAATCGCTAGAAAGTTCCACAATACATCAGGATGACCCTTTGGCTACAAAAAATGAGAATGATAACCAAGATGATGAAATATATAAAAATTTTGCATTGCCTGGGTAAGAGAAAATAATTTTCACCTAATATCTTTTTGGCACAATTTTATATAGGAAAAGTTTCATACCTATATTGTTTTAATACTATTCTAAATATCTGATATTTTTTTCAGGTTTACAACAAACCATGGAAATGGAGCTGAAAACGAATCTCGGGCTATACGAACTGAAACGAATTTGAGATTTCCTTATATTAACTTGAAACCATTCCAGATCAAAACTATGCAGAAACCAATTCAGAACCTTTTACCAAATAGCAAGAAGAGTACTAATTTATTTACTAATTTAGACAACTTCTACGATTTAAAAAATCCCGTGAGAGGTGAAGCACAGGATGTGGTTCCAATGCGTCAGCCAGTTGATCGTTATAATCCCGCTCAGCCTTATTTACCACAACAAAACTACGGGGGAAATTCCAAAGAGTCGAATAAAGCATCCGCGCCCACAAAGGCGACGGCAAATCTTGTGCCTCCTCCACCTCCTCCAGCACCAAAGTTGACCGATAACGATTTCCCTGCCCCGACGAGCTATGAATCTTTCCCTCCATATCCTCCCTCTGTTAGTGATTCTATACCTCCACTGCCCGCTGCACCTAAACCTTCAGTTTCAGCCTATTCACCGCCCGGGCCACCCATAGATGATAGCGATTCCAACTCATTTTCATCTGATGATAATACTAATGGGCCTTCAATGGATCTTGGATATCGCTACAAACCACCTTCTGCTCCTGTGCAGCCGTTTGCACCCACACTACCACCTGCTATGAAACCGTTTGGAGGATATAATTACAATAAACCTCCTATGAATCCTGAACCATCACCTATGGCTCCTATAGATGATGCACCAGACTTTCAAGGTTATCAGTACAATAAACCTACTGATTTATCGCCGCCAAGCGATCAAATGCCGCCATCTTCCTACAATCATCATGACTCTCCACCTTTTCATAATGATAACGACTATCCAGAATTAGTGTTTCAAAAACATCATGGGGATGATTCAAAAGACAGTGATCATATGAAAGGAACTGACATGGATATGATGATGCCACCTCCTTCCGATATGAAACCCGACCATGGACCCCCAGATCATGACAGTTTTCCAAGCGATTTTCCCAGCGACTTTAAGTATCACCATGATTTTGATGATCACGATTTCTATCATCATCATCATACTACTACCACAACTACTACTGAAATGCCTCGTGTTAACAGGTACAGTTACTACTATCTTGGAAAGAAGCTATACTATTTGCCGTTATATTTTAGCGTTTATTTTATTGTATACGTTGGAGCTCTTATTATAAAGGCAGTGTTGCGGCATAAGATAGTATATCCTAATAGCTGGAGACCAAATGATACAACGGCGGGTTTCTTTTCGAAGAGATCAATTGAATCATGGGATCTGTCCAGTGAGAACTTACATGAGATTACTGGAAAAGTCACTCATGCATTAGCAACAGCGGCAAAAATGTATTCGGACAGTAACAAGAAAAATAAATAGGAAAATTAATTATCTATTTCAAACTTAATGTACATAACTGGCGTTAGGCATAAGTCGTTTTGAACTGGACATATTTAAAATTACAAAAGACTTGATATTCTTATTTTGAATATAGTTCATTGTCACAACGAAATTTTGTTGTGTAAGTTTTGGATTATAATTAAATAATACTACTTTTAAAAAGCTTGTTTGTTCATAACAAATCCTTTTCACTTCCACTAATTGTGAAATCAAATAAACCCTTTGATATTTTTAACTAAGTTACAGTATGTGTTTTAACTTTGATGTAACTTTTTACATTTAACAAGCTTTTTTTTAATTTGCAGTGTTTGTATACATGTATATTATCTAAAACCTATCAAGATGAAATTTTTAGCGTAACGTAAAACTTCGATTGTTTTAGAAAAATCAGGGTTCAAATTGGGATTAAAGAATGATTATGAGTATAATATAGGTATAATAATTTTTCTATTTTAATTATGACTATCCTCTATGTAGTTAACTAAAATATTACTAAAAGCTTAATATTTTATGAGTGGCAAGTAAAATATTCTTTTTCAATGTAAAGTACAAATTTATTGATGATCCAATTGGTGTAGTGGGTAGTGACTCTGCCTCTTGCGCCAGAGGGTGTTTGTTCGATCCCCACTACTGGAAAAATATTGTTCAATGAACATAGTGTTTTTCTAGTGAATGAGTCTTTTTATATCTATAAAAATGTATTTATTTACAAAATAAAAGTTTTTATATCTATAAAAATGTATTTATTTACAAAATAAAAATAAAACTATTGGCGCGTTTATTTAAAGAAATGGTTTCATTAAGTTCATTTTTAAAAATGTGTTCACAGTTGAAAGTTGTGTTTGGCTTGTAACGTATCTTTATTAAATGTTATCGATTTATTGAGATTTGTAACAGTATTTGTAGGTACCTTACTTATTTCAGCTGTTGCTGGTCAAACCAAATCATTGGTCGAACAGTAGAAAAAACTGCGTGCCTCTACTAAAATAAAACGTAACTACTTATACCGATAAACTTAAATGAATATTTTTGTACAGAAATGAACTTTCGGATTCCTTATGCGCCTGGGCCCGTTACCCGGAAGACGCAGGATCGAATCCCGCTCTGCCGAAAGTTTTTGTCCATGTATTTCAAAAATATTTTTTTTAGTTTAAGAGTGCAAAGACTGCGATTAAAAATAATTACTTTAAAAAACTTTTAAGTTAAACGGTTTTATTTTATGTTTTTTTTTTGTTAAATTTTTTTTTGTTAATATTGTATTGTCATCTAAATTAAATGTGTGTACCAAATTTCAGATCAATCTGACAACGGCAAGGTGCTTAAATTTAAGCACCTTGCCGATTTCTAATTTTGACCCAAATAAATAAACAAACAAATTCCGTACGGGTCGAGCTAAATAAAACCGTTTAATAAAATTAATAATAAATCCACATGCGTTATTTGCGACTTATGATAAAGACGAAAATTCAGAATAACAACAAAGTAATAATCAAGAAGAAGAATTATATACGAAAACATTTTAGGCCGTATTTGCGCTGTAATAACACTCATGTAGGTACATGGGACACTCAGGAAATTTTGAGAAACGATGTAACTAACTTATATGAATAAAAAAAGTATTACATTTTTCAAAGATTTTATTATACAAAGATTCATCCGCCTAAAGCAATTAGCGAAGCACATTTTCGAGTCCGCCACAGAATCCTCTTCTACGGCCTCTTAAATTCTTTAAATATAAATTTCGGTGTGTCATCTTTCACTAATATGTTAAGGGCTACCTGTATGCTAATGCCCAAAGTGGCGGAAGAAGACGATCAGTTAGAAACAAAGAACTTAACGGACATGTGAAACTACATGTATTAATATTAAAATGTTACAAGTTGAATTCATAATTAAAAATAATCCTACGAATTTGTTTCAGTGTTTTTTTTTTGTTTACTCAGAACGTTATCAACTCCCACAAAAAATATCATTGTAAAATAACAGTCATGGAAGTGATTACTAATTAATTATTAAGACAAGATTAAAATTGTTCGAAAAGTTCTTGACATGATTCGTACCCTGCGTAGAACAACGTGACATCTGCAAAATTGTAATTGTTCAGGACGGCCGATACAAATTATATTTTTTTTATTTTGGTTATAGTTTTGTTATACATGGCAGTTGCTACTAAAATTTTTGAGGTTTGTAGTATAATTAGGTATGTAAAAAAAGTATACTTTTTGAATAAATAATTATATAAATTTAGGAAATAAGAGGTTTCCTGTGTAATAGTGACGTTTTCCTACGGAAAATGGCAAAAACTGACGGTTCACAAGTTTATATGACGTTGTTCAACGGAACATTCCAAAAAATAATAGGTCACACGTTCATACATAACGTTGTTCTACTAAAAACTCATAGAATATGTATGACATAAACGCATATATCACTTTTTTCAACGAAAAGAACATAAAAAAGTGGTTGTCTGTGCAATAATTATCAATTGATTCTAGTGTTTGACCGAAACTGGTTTTTACGACCGAAACCGAAACCGAACCGAATTTCGGCAACAGTCTCAGATTCGGCCGAAACCGAAACCGAAATTTCTACAAAAGGATCATGTTTTGAGGGAAAAATAAATATCTTTATGTCATATAGTTATGCAGTTTTCGACATTTTCACTTATTGGTTTGATATTGGTCGTAGTTTCGGCAGGTTGAGCGCCGAAACCGAAACTAGCTAGAAGATGATTCCTCTGACATTTGTCGAGCTTATCGCTGCCTTTTAAATACGTTATATTGCCACTACCATTCTTTATGACTTAAACCTCGAGAAAGCCCATACAAGAAAAAAAGACAAGGTATCTAGACCTTTCACAATAAGTTATCACATGTAGGTCATGTTTGACTGCGCTAGATTAGAAAAGAATCCTTTGCGTGTTTGGTTCAATTTGTATAGAAAATTATCATAAGCCTTATAGAATACGAACAGGCATGGCCGGCGGCTAAAGTAATAGTATCAAACTCTCCCATTTCATCAGGCTACGACTGGTTAGTTAGATTACGGAGCCCTGTCTTCTCAAGGGCTGCAATGTAAGGTAAAATTACTCAAAAACTATGAAGGGCTTTTTTTACGCATTCTTCTCTCATATATATAAGGTATGATATACCCTCAAAATCTAACAAGACTACGACTCTGTAAAAACGTTTCAGTTCAAATGCCAAAGCTAGTATTTTGTAATGGTACCCTCGCCTTGTTAGCATGGCGGAGGTTTCTGACGGATTATATGTATATTTGTAAAAGCTAACTTAATGGCAAGGGCTTACTATAATGTCCAATAATACATTGAGGACAAGGATGTGTGGCAATGGCTCTTGCTCTGCACTTGCAAGACCCCTGGCTGCTGCTGATTTTATCTTCTATATTATAAAGAGGAAAGATTTGATTGTTTGTATGTATTGAATAGGCTCCGAAACTACTGAACCGATTTGAAAAATTCTTTCACTGTTGGAAAGCTACATTATCCCCGGTTGATAAAGGCTATATTATATTTAAAAAAAAATAGGGATCCTTACTAAAACTTCAATGATGTAACCCAAATTGTACAAAAATTACCTAAAATATTCTTTACATCGCGTGCGCTGCGAAAACTATTGATTACAGAATAAAGTAATGTACTACGTATTTGTAGAACACATCATTATTTATAAAAAAGGGTCGTGATAGCATATTTCTAACTATTATAGTTATGCCACAAAAAGTGATCGTTTATTTTAAAATTTTGATTGAAATGCCGCCGCTAGAAAAGGCTCTTTATTTGTATCTTGGTATTAATCCTTATAAAAATAAATTATCATATTTAAGACGGTTTCAATATCTTTATAAAACTTTTTGAATTATTAAATTCGGACATTCCATTTGAGAGATATCATAAGTTTAAAAATCTTAGTATATTGAAATTTAACTGTTCAAACAGCTTAGTGACTGACTTAGTAGTTCTTATAATTTTTCAATCACATTTATACTGGTAATTCCCGTTCGATAGTTAGCAAATTATTAAATACAAAGGCAGTTTAATTTTTTTTATCATTTTAAAGATCTCATCTTTCTAGAAATAGTTTCCAGGCGAGGGCATCAAAAATACGTCGTAATGAGGAATCTTTACCGGAAACTGAAAATAGTCTTACAATTCGGAGAGAGTCAAGTAGAGCGGCTTGAAGAGCAAAATAATATATAAATATACAAATTCACAATAGGGAATCGAGCTCTGTGCGTTCCCAACGCCTACGAGATTAGAGGGAAAGACAACAAACGTCAACGATTAGAGTTCGTAATCGACTTTCAGCTCATAGTAACAGATCAGCTTTAATGCATTAAGCTCAACAGTATTTTGTCCAAATCGAAGCCATGAATAAGATCTGCTCTAAGTGTTCTGCCAAAAAATGGGTCGATGAACCTACTGGAAAAGTTAGTCTCCCCAATATTGAGGAGCCGCAACAGCCAATAAAAAATCTTTTTACAAATAATCATTCACCATCAGGACATTTTTAACCAAAATCCGAAAGTGCAATAGCCTTTTTCAAATGACTTCGTTTGACACGAACTTTTAAAATAGAGGGACAAGAATACAAGCTATCATCCTCCTGCCCCTATCCCACCTAGGTGGGATCGGCACAACATGAATCATGTTGTAAGCATTTTTTGACTATATTTTTACAACCAGCCGCCTTAAATATCCAGATCAAATTTCAACTGTGTAACTATCACGGTTCAAGAAATACAGCCTGTTGACAGAGGGACAAACTGACAGCGGAGTCTTAGTAATGGGGTCCCGTTTTACCCTTTGGGTACGGAATCCTAAAAGGGCCCCACAGATATAGTGTTGCACAGGTAGACACGTCCAACTTAAGGATCTCTGAGTTACACCGATTGTATGATCCACTAAAATATCCCTTAATAGTCGTAATAGGAGGAGACGGTTAATATTTGTCTTTTCCTAAGCAAGGTACTGTGCGCAAGAAAACTGTGATGGTTGATGGTTAGAGCTATCTGTTTTAATCCATTGAAATATTACTGGGACCTATTAGGGTTCCGTACCCAAAGGGTAAAACCGCACCCTATTAATAAGACTCCGCTGTCTGTCTGTATGTCCGTATGGCTGTCCATATGTCTCATGAAACCGCACCCTATTAATAAGACTCCGCTGTCTGTCTGTATGTCCGTATGGCTGTCCATATGTCTCATGAACCGTGATAATTAGACAGTTGAAATTGTCACAAACGATGTATTTCTGTTGCCGCTAAATCCTTAACACAGGCTCCCATAAAAGAGACATGATTTTTTGCCGTTTTTAGATAATGTTGACAGTAGTAGTGTTTTTGACAATATGTAAGTGTAATACTTCCATTGAATAAAGATATTAAAACATGTTTTTTTAATGTGACAGAGTAGCAAACGAGCTGGCGGTTCCTCTGATGTTAAGTGATAACAACTGTGTTGCCAACATTAAAAAAGAGGGCCCCGGTTACCTCTCTCACCAGACGAAACGTAGAAGTATAACACTTTTATTTTACGCCGGTCATCTGTGAGGTCGGTACGGAACCATTCGTGTGCGAGTCCGACTCGCACTTGGCCGGTTTTTATTCAATACATTTTCGATATGATGGCAAAAAGATATCAGAAAGATTGAATTACATATGATGTCGTAATCACCAGAGATTGAGGGCTGGTGAAACATTCATCTTAGAGACGCTTTAAGTCAAGACATTGGCCCATCAAATATCAGTCAATGCGTAATCTGCAACGTCATATTCATTTACAGGTTCTCCGAGTTATCTGCATTAAAAAACCAAAGATGCGATTATTTATGCCCGAAGCTATGGGAGACCAGACTTATTTGTCACTTTTACGTGTAACCCCGAATGTCCCGTAATTAAAGCGGAACCATTATCTAGTCAGCGGTCTTTCAATCTTCATGACGCAATTTCAAGGGTATTTCATTAAAAGATGAAGAAATTCATAAAATTATTGACCAAAGACGAAATATTCGGAAGGTTTTATGTGTGTGTATAATAACTTTTAATTTTAAAATTTTGTTAAATACCCGTGCGAAGCCGGGGCGGGCCGCTAGTACCTAAATAAGTTTGTATAATTGCATCACAAAAAATAACAAAAAGAACAAGACCGCAGAGTTTCTTGCCGGTTCTTCTCTGTGCAGGTCTAGTTTAGTGAACCGGTGATAGATTTTTTGTTGATGTTCAATAAGAGATTAAGTTAAGCCTATATTGAATAAAGATACTTTGACTTTGGTATTATTTATAGTTCTCCTTCTTTCTCCTAACTTTTTCTCTCCTAAGGTGAGTTGGCACAACATGTCAATAATTTTGTAGTTTTAAATTTAAATTTTGTCAATTTTTTTCAAGTTTTTTTTCGAAAGACAGACGAAAAGTGAATTAAAAAAAAACTTCTCCGTTTTTTGAATAGTGTAAGACGAACATATCATAAGCGCAAATTCTTATGATATCCACGCTCTAGTTCTACAAAGAAACGGTATAAAGATTAGTAATCACCATGGGTGATTTCAAATAAAAACTCGTATAATCAGTATTATGAAAGTCAAAATTTTTGAAATCAATCAATGAAAAACGTGTCATCTGAATTTAAATGAAAATTCCGATGAAAGTTTTCCTTTCATTAGAGTCTCAGGAACTAGCTTCGACAGAGGCATTTAATTCTTATCTTACCCGCAGACTTTAGGTGTAGGCGTCGTGTCAATGTTGCAAATTAAATTGACACCCCGGTAGAGAGTACGAGAGCACGGTTTGTTTGCAGAATCCATATCTCAAGTGCTCCCTTAGCCCGGTTAACTGAGACGTATGGGTCCAAATCAGTCAGTTCGTTTTTCATCATTCAACTGTGCACGCAGCGCGCGTAGTGCAGATATTTAATATTTAACTTATTAGTACGTCTGTAATACGAAAATAGACAGTTGACAGTGAGAACGAAAGTCGAGGAACTAGACTATTTTATCCCTTTAATATATTTTGAAGGTGAAATGCCAGTACGGGGTATACTTCCCATGACTTGCCACGCGCTGGTGTGGACCCTCGCGATTGCTTTCCTGCTGTGGGCGACGGGAGCTAACGCTGGTGCCGCCCAGTACGACACCGCCACCCCGCACTCCCCACCGTATCACAAGTACAGAAATGTGTTACCGCAGTAAGTACTTCTAGAGGATCATTTTTAGGATCTTATAATATGTCATACCAGTAGATAAAGCTGTTTGTGTTTTAAACTCAGTTATTAGTTACGAATGAAAAAGTATGGTAAGATTCATAAATGAATTCGATCATTCCATCTAGACCAATTGTTTCTGTACAGTTACGGTTTCTCTAAGCATATATTTTAATTCAAAACTTCTAACAAGAGATTGTTCACATTGTTTAAACCCAAAATTTACAAACAAATATTTTAAATCCAATTTATAGAAGTGATTGGGTACAGTTTAAATACAATGGCCAGCCTCAACTCGTTTCTTCTTCATGAATACTGTGTGTATTCATGAAGAAGAAACGAGTGTGTATTCTTAATTACTTCCTCTAAGACTTAATAAGGACGTAAAATATTTTACTCTCTCCAACTACTTAAAGTTTTAAATTGCTTATTTAAGGCATATTAGTCGGTTACAACTCATTTCTGGGTTCGTGTTGAGAACTATGACCCTCTGTACAAAGGAGGTCTTAATCTCTCCTGAAATATGGTTATAGTTACATATAAATACCAGTATAGGCCGTTTACATAGACTTATTCTTCATTGCTATGTTTCTTTCCGTAACAATAAGCATATCTCTACAAAGTTCCAGTTACAACAGTTATGACCGAGGTGACGTCAGTGAATCTATCGACCCAGAACCAACGGGCTACAAGATCGCGCCCTCCGAGCTTATTCTCTCCGGTCTGCGAACTATTTTAGATGTGGTTAGAAAAATGAATAAGAAGAGATTGACTAGCAAGACTCCGGAAAATCCTTTGAATACAACAGCCGTTCAGGTAAGACCAACCACTTACCGAATGAAAATGTGTAAAAAAAATCTCTGACAGATAATGTTCCTTCATTAATCGTTATTCTAGTTAGTGCTGATAACATAAATTTTTTTTTAATCAAAGTTATTCTCTCCATAATACAAGATTTTTGACTTGTATTGACATTTCTTATTTCTCCTATAACCTATAAAGAAATGTGAGGCATTTACATGATTAATTTAGATTAGTGTGCTGAAAAGTTTTTCCACTTGAAGGTATTGTGATTAGTTTATTAGTTGCAATGCCGCGTTTAACAGCTACTAGTATTGCACGGATGTACAGGTTCATCCGAACATTACGTGAACATTAGTAAAAACTAAGAAGTAGCCTTACAGACGATTAACGTAAAGTAAAACTTCTGCATTTCTTTTGCTGAGTCTTGGCAACGCATCATCAACCACTCAGGTGTTATAGACGTGGTGCGTTGATAATAACTCAACAAGGGAACCACCCGCTCACTTGCCAAATATCACATAAAACACTCGATATAATCTATCAAAATCTTATGTACTAACATAATAGATTTCGAAATATCTATAGAGTAGCATATGTGATCGAATTAGGGACATAGTAACGGTACCAGCTGAACTGGGTGACCGAGTGTCGTGGCGCTAATTGTGCACTTCAGGCGGCACCCTTGTTTGGCCAAACAATAATGCTGCGATAGACGTTGTAAAAGTATCCGTACACGACGCACAAACATTTATTTATTTATACTTTATTGTACACCAAAAAATATAAAAAGCAAATTACAAATGAATGTAAAAGGAAGTACAATAGTCGGTCTTATCGCTCAGAAAGCGATTTCCTCCAGACAACCATTGGGAAAAGTATTTTTGCTCAAGAGACATGAATCGCTAATAAACACAGGATGGTATTTATGCATCAATGAAATAGGCAATGACTTTGGGCAAAATAGGAAAACGAAAAAGGAAAGCATGAGTTCACAGTTCCAAGTAATCAGCCTTTATTAGGTTTTTAAAAGAAAGACAATACTTAGCTTGTCGAATGTGAAGGGGCAAAAAATTTCACAAACGCACAGCTATGACAGTAAAACATTTCTTAGAGAAAGAAGAGGAATGTACAGGAGTTTGGTGGGAGAGATTGACAGAAGAACAAAGGAACCTTTCATGGGATGTATAAAGATACTCGAAGCGATCTTTTAAGTATTAAGGAGTAGAAGGATAAAACAGCACGCCTTTTTTTATGTGAAAAGTTGCCAAGCGGGTTCAACTGATATTGAGTGCAAGGGGTTCAACTGATGTTAAGTGAATATATGCTACTGGTACGTGGTACTTACCCGGACGAGCCTGCCCATTCGTGTACCAGCCGAGGCTGTTGCGTGGCTTTGTACAAAGCAAAGAGAATATGGGTTGGGGGCCACTTGAGCTGTGTACGAAAATCGAAAATTTGATCATATTTACGAAGCCCAAATACAAACTTTTTTGACATTAACCCTTATTATCTCGTGTCACCAGTCCAAAAATCCTTAATTTTCTTAACTTGCGTAAGAAGGTACATAATTTTTTTTTTTGATTTTGTTTTTATGTATTGAATAATGGTTCTCCTCAAAATGTCTATTTGAATACTTGAAATACGTCGTATGCATAAATAGGCTTTCCATGGCCAAGATTTCATAATAAGATATGTATACGAATTACAATTGTATTGAATATACCAGCCTTTGCAAGTTTTAATATAGATATTTGTTCAGTGCCATAGAATCTTTGTGATCCAAATTACAGCTCAGTTCGTAATTTGTTGTATTTAAATTATCATAATTCTGTTCATCTGATGAAAATAAGATGAAGCTAATACACAATTTGAGCCAGATCATGTTTTTAAATATGCTTCAACTAATATTACATTTATTTATATACTTTTATATATTTATCACGAACATTGGATCCAGGGGTACATCAGCAAGTCATATTCTGTGTGTATATTTGTCTAACTCAAGTTACCTACTTTTTCCTCTAGATGCCTCGAGCAAGAACGTCCAATGGTACGTCATTGGATAGCGGGCGAGGTTTCGAGGATTTTTACGATGAGCACGGCTACCACGACCACGACCACGACCACGACCACGACCACGACACCACGACCACAGCAAAGCCAATGAAGCAGGGTCGGTACACTGATCCCTGGGCCGGCTACTACGATTGGGTCATTAACGAGGGTTCTTTCAAATTCTGGAGCGTATTTCAGGTAATAATTAAAAAAAATGTTTGTTTATACATACATGTTTGCAAGCTCAAGCCTTTTCTCAAAAATGGAGTTTATATAACGTGTTAATAATTTTAGGGTTAATTTTAAAATATTGGGTTTATTTATTTTAAAAGTAATCCAAAAAGACCCAAATTCGGCACACTCGGTTAGGTTATTAAATGTTCACTTTAATTTATTAACGGACTGTTGAGGGAAGTAAACGAACCGCAATGCGCTAAGAGTTAAATAATGAAATTACTACTTGTTTTTTGGTATACTGGATAATTTATTTTATTCATTTATTGCAACACTTACTGTCATGATATTGGATATAAAGGTCTATAAACCGTTAGAGACTATTCGTTTTCTTTTATTTAGATGGGAGTCATAGTATATACCTCACATAAATGTAGAATTTCATATGTCTAATTTTTATTTTTAGGTTTAGTCTACTAAAAATAAAGATTAATCCTAAAATTTTAAGAACAATGGGGACATCACTCGTTACAAATATTCATCGTTGAATGTTCTTTGTGTTGTACGCTGTAAAAGATGCATTGCTGAAAATGCAATGGAATGAACTATGGATGTCGACATTTTCGCTCCGTAAGGTTTTTAGCTTAGTTGGTAAAGCATCTAGGCGCAAAACCAGAAGACGTAGGTTCGAATCCCGTAGCGCCGAAATTTTTTGTTCATTTATCTAGAAACATTTCCAATTTAAAATTTCATAGGGTCGTTGTCGAATTTGAGTGCATGCATCGTAATTGAACGGTTACAGTCTTTTGATTAATGATCTGTTACAATTTTTGTGCTGTGAGCCTTTGCCACTCTAAGTTTAAGAAAGGCTTATTTAAATTTCCGCTAGAGAAAACCGTACTCACATTTGCTAAGAAACATAACGAATAAGTTCTACCCCGCTTACGAGCACGGTGAAACCCACATTACAGACACACCAGGTGCACCCTCCTTGCAGGGTGTTCTCAACGCCCTCAGATGCCAATTAATACAGTTAACGGCCATCCGAGTCACGGCCCGGTCTGAACCTCGAAGTCCCGTATGCTAATTATTTTCATCTATTTATATATTGGTTCTATATTTTTAATTTATTTGTATGTTTAGAAATTTCGTAAAATACTGTAATATATACAGCGTGTCGTTACCATCGCGACAATAAATGAACACACATATAGGGGATTACTTTTTAAAGTTGTATTAAACATTTAAATTCTTTAAACATCAATATTTACAGAGTTATTAAATTTTCCAAAACAAAGAATTTTAGAACACCCTCACCTATAAAAGCGTAACGTAAAGTTCATTTGTAAAGGGCACAAAGTACATGAATGGGTAGAATGAATTTAAAAGAGACAAAACATACTGTTAGAAGGAGAGGCTTGTAATACGACACTGTGGCGCGAGTTGTATAGGATGTTACAAATTTTGTTTTTTTTTTTACTTAATTAGTTTGTTTGAAAAATATTTTTTTATAATTATGGATTTTGTTTAACGTTAATGTTTTTTTATGATTATTGGCACGTAGCGTTAGACGTGTGTTCATTTATTGTCGCGATGGTAACGCCACGCTGTATATACTATATGTCAGATTTACTTTAAATGGGTTTTAGTTATTATGACGCCAATACATTCAACAATATGATAATTAAGATGAAATTAATCACAATGTAAGTGGAAAGTGCAATGTTTTATATAAAGATTTAAATACGATTATTTAGCCACATCCACGAGGTTAAGACTCAACTGAAACCAAAATTAACTGTTCGTTTGACCTTTAAGGCACTGTAGCGCATCGTAGCGAATAATTGCGGTTGTTTATTAAATACATCCCAAAAAAATCTTATTATGTTGTCATTTGACAAAATGCAAGGCAGATAGTGGATGTTGACATTGACATAGTTTTGCGACCGAAAGAGCCATGGGTATCAATTTCCTTAGGAAGTGTAGTTTGAACCTTAAGCGTGTCACATTTGTCCTTAAGACCGATACCATTTTATTGCTAGACAAATTTATGCCCGAATTAGAATATTCAATGACGCATAGTATTAATACGATGTACACGTACCATGATTATACAATGTTGCAATACAATGTACGGTGTTAACTAATAGTGTAAAAGGAATTCAAAAGTGAATGAACAGAAATAGATAAGCGTTCTACAGAACTGGGGTCTCTACTGGCTTAGAGCAAATCATATAAAATATGACGAAATACAATTCACTTGGATAGTGTGAAATAATGTTAATTAAAACATAAATTATGTGTTATGGTCACGATTTAGGGAGAGAAGCAAAGCCAAGAAGTTCTGCTAGTTAATCCGAACGTCATACATGAGGCATATCCACGGTCAAATCTTAAGTGGTGCGTCTTTAAAATGTTTCCTGATTTTTTGTTTGCTTAAATAAAGATTCACTTAATTACTAGCGCAAACTACTCAAATTATGTCTTCCTACTGAAATCATTCACAGGCTCATATAACTATGTTTGTAATTAAATTTTAATGTGTGTAAGTTGTAATTATACGATGCAGGTATTAAAATGCTATTAATATTGTTATTGTACTCAATTCATAATCCGTCCATTAATTGAACTAAGGAAAAAATATTTCTTACAAACTCCATCAACGTTATTGAAAACTACACTCATAGACAAAAATGACCTTAATGAAAGTTAAATGTAATTGAATGGGTTATTTTGTATCTACAACTAGTCTGTAACTAATCTGTATTTTTAGAAAATTTCGATCACCCTCAGTTTTTTTGCAACAGCAATTAATCTTTTTTTTAAGTAAAAATGGTAAAAAAATGTTTCAAATGAAGAAAAAATAACTTATGTTTATGTTTATTTAGGATTTTCGGGAATATTTGGCGTCAGGTACATCCCTTTTGAGTGTCCAGCAGTAGTCAGCGTTCGGACTCCACTTGCCTTGGTACCTTTTTTCCATGTTGAATATGTCCTGATGGAACCGCTCACCGTGTTCGTCGCTAACGGCTCCCAAATTTTGAGGAAAAAATCCAAATGCCAGTGTAAAAAGTGAATCTTGAGCGACATATTGCATCCCATATCCTTTTAAGCCGCTAAAAGGTTGTTGACTAACTCTTCATAGTTTTCGGCCCTGTAGTTTCCAAGAAAATTAGGGACAATATTTCGAAAACATGTCTAAGCGGATTTTTCGATCGGATTAAGTTTTTGTTCAAACTCTCCATCTACAAATATTCCTTCTTTTATTTTGGTATCACTGATTTTTGGAAATTTTTGTTTCAAGTAACAAAAACCAATCTCCATTTTTATCCATAGCTTTCACAAAATTTGAGAATCCGAGTTTGATATGCAATGGAGGTAGCAATACATCTTCAGGATTTATTTAAGGAGTGTGAAGAACATTTCGTTGACCTGGTATAAGAGCGTCTCGCTCTGTTACATACACACACTCTTTCGGTTCGGCCCATATCATTGGAACTGCGAACGGCATATGACGAGTTCCTTTAGCCCATGATATTAACAAAGTGACACACTGTGTACAGCAAACACAAGGAGTCCAGGTTTTATCCAAATTTCGCGCCGGAAAACCAAAATAATTAAAATAACAGTTTTTAACTAATGGTGTCAAACTACGACGTTGATGTTTAACAGTAAGTTGACTGCAAATATAACAGAAGTTATCAGGATGTTTTACACACACTCGCGGCATCTTAGTAACAGTAAGTAACTTATAACACTAATCTAAAAAAAACTGTTTTAATTTCAATATTTTTTCGTTAATTTATTCGGAAACACGCGTCGGTAAGCAAAATTCGCGTCATCAAGTAAGTCGATATTTTATGAAAACTGAAGGTGATTGAACAAAACTAAGTATGGGGTTTATATGTAGGTAGGTAGTAGTGTTTAAAAATATGACTTGATTTCGTTTAACAAATTTACTGTTTATCAGTGCTATTATTGCATTTATACATTCCCGCGACTTGATTCATAGGACGGAAACGGACCTACGGAAATTTCGATATGATATGCGGAGGTATGTGAATAGAGGCTAAAACCAACAAAATTGTAAGCCTTTCATTGTTACATGGTGATAGTTTTTGAGTAAAATTGTTATCCTTATGTTAGGTTATAAAGACGTTTGTTATTTCAAAAAAAGATGACCATGAACTGCAGTTCGTGCACTTGGTGCTATTGAACTTTGTATCGTATAATTACACGAGATAGTTATGATATACATTTCGTACAAGCAAACCACTTTACTACAGTTATAATTTACATTCTGGATATTGCATATCTAAAGCAAATAGACAGATGTGTTTCTTTTATTAATATGAATATTTATCCAGACATTCATATTAATAAGAGAAACACATCTTTTGCTATATAGGAGAGGGTTTTTTTTGTATCAAACATTATATAAAAATTTACAAAAATATAACATATTGTATAATATAATGTTCCTGTTGTCATCTCCTCAAAAACCTAGCGACCCCCTAGAACCTCAAAAACGTAGGGCGAAATTGGCCTTAACTAGTTGAAAGCTAATACCTACCCAAATCAATGGGTTCATCGTGCTTTTGTCGAAAAATTAGGTAAATTCTTTGATTATCTATGGTTATCTTTTGTAAATGTTAATTTGAGGATTGATTGAAAAAGGATTGGTATATATTATACGATTAACTTGATTTATACGATATTTTACTCATATTTACATTATCTTAGTTAATTAGATTAATTAAAAACAATAGCGATATAACTTCAAAAACGGTTTACAATTATTGAAATGTAGGTATTTCTGCAAGTTTTTTGTTCTACTAGTTGACGTATTCATAATATACCGCATATGGATAATTATATTGGATAATTTTTAATTATAGTATTACAGGAGTAAAATCATATGCTGGCTTTTCATACTTCCCTTTTTCAACCGACTTCAAACAAAGAGGAGGTTCTCGATTCCTCTGTACTTTTTTATGTTTGTTACCTCAGAACTTTCTACTGAGTGAACCGATTGTGATGATTCTTTTTTTATTCGAAAGCTGATGCCATGCGTTCATTGGTATTGATCATTGGATCTTGGGCTCCGGAGATACTTTGGAACTCCTGAAAATCAATTATAAAATTAATGAAGAGCGAGACATTTGAAGCCGGTTTTTTTTTTTTTTTTTTTTTTAGTAATTTATGTAACAAATCATTCATAACATGTCCATTGATTTACACACAGTCTTAGCGACAAAAGAACAAATACTCTGTGTACGTAAATCATAAAATTAAAATAAATACAGTCCTAATAGTGTGAGGGCGACCATTCCTTTTTCTGTCTTCTATTCTTCAATTTTCGTTATATCATTTGATTCAAACTTTACAGTAGTAGTTCGAAAATCTGTCTTGTTTAAGCATATTAACATATTTATTTTCATATAACATTCGAAATTCAAATTCAATAAACATTTGTGTGTCCAGTATTCAAAATTCAAAAGTTTTCATTATGCGACAGAAGTCTTGACCCGACTGGAATTAATTACACAGCATTAAAGTAAGATTAATTTACTTGTTTACTTTAATATTTTAATTCCATTTATATATGTGTATCGTTTCGTTTTATTACCTTCACCTGAATAATTCTTTGTATTCTTAATTAATACTTATTTAATTTTTTTGCATTAATCTTAATTAATCATTTCATTAGTCGTTTTATATTACATTATACTATTATACATATAACATATATACTATTATACTATACTATTATACTATACTATTATACATATACATTATACTATTATACATATAACATATACTTATATGTGCAAATGTATAATATAAAATATCCTTATAATCCTTGTTAATTCACGATAAATTAGTGGACTGTCCAATCGAAACTCTAATGTTTAATACGCAACGATTATCTTAAGAAAACGGACCTTACAAATATTATCCGCTGCCATCAGCCCCGTCATTCGTGGACAGGGTAATAATAACATACCTTTGATGGGAATTTTAAATGAAGAAAAAAATGGACTATATGAATTCATAAAGATTTTTTTATTTTAATTACCCAATCAAATGTCTGTAATAACAATTCTTACCGTCTGGTACTTAAAAAAGGCATTTTATAATGTTTGTATACTCATTTTGTATATCGTTTGTATATTGTGTCTGGTTACACATGCTATTATATTGAATATGTATCATATATGTGTTATAGACATTAAACACATAATATGTATTTAATGCATATAATACGTATCTATGCCAAAAAATTACATAGGTCTGCGGTTGCGCACGCATCACGGATGTAATCTATTCATGTTACTTTTATTTTTAGATACTTAGCCCTTATCTAGTAGAAAAGTTTTCCGATTTCTTCATTTAATGTAAAGTACTTAAAGTTTTAAGAAGCAACGATTTTTATAAGCACTATCTAAAGCTAAAGGTGTAAACGGTGGTTATAAAATAAACAACGCAGACGAAGTCGCGGGTACCAGCTATATTATATAGTTAATCTTTTAGTGAGTAATAACGTTAACACATTAATATTTCGTTTACAGCTTTTTACCGCCGCTCTTCTTCTGTACGCGTGTTTGTCGGCCATCTACTATGCAAAATTCAACCCTATCCTGCCGGACTACACTATGGAATACGATGACTACTTTTTGGAAAGAACGGTGGGACGAAACGCGAGGAGTGTAGAATCCTGGGAACTCCCGTCAGGACTCAGCTGGATGAACGCGCGCAACTTCCAATTCATTTTGGACGCTATAGCGACGCATTACGAAGACCAATAGTTGTAAATTTGATTATAGACTTTTTAAAAAGTTTATCTATGTAATTGGGTGAAAATACATACAGGTCAACGACGTCTTCATTTGTGTAGCGAAAATTCAATAATCTGTTGCCCTGTATAGTATCAGAGAAATCTGATTTGACGGAACTTCTATGCGATAATAGCAAGATCACTTTGAATCGGATTTCAATAGGTTTATAATAATTATAAACCTACTATTTTATATTCTCATAAATGTATTGAATAAAATTATTTTAAAAACATTGTAAATCATAAGATCTGAGTAGAGTATAGGTCGATAGAATGGTTTTGTTCAATGTGTAATAATTATGTAGATGTAAGTAATCATTAAATAGAGCTGTATATGTTAATATTGTATTAAAGTAGAAAAAACAATTGCTCAATTTCTGTTCCTAGATATTATATAGAGTTATTGTTTACAATAAAATGAGACTACATTTTATAATGTCTCGTTTTCTTATGCAAAATTTATAAATAATACAATTTCCAAGCGTATGTTCGAAACATTAACCATTTTTAAATACAAGGATGGATAATTAGGTACAGGCTTATTAAGGTTTAGCGCAGCGGTTCAGACTTTGCAAGGAAAGCCTTAAAGTTATAGCCGTGGCCACACTGAACCACGTTTTCATTCCATGATTCTACATTAATTTTAAAATACTTAAAAACGATTTAAAAATAATTTAAGCAATTCTTTCTGTAAATTTTTATATGTTCAACTTATTAAATGTAGCTACAATGTGGACAGGGTGGTGTAAATAGTGCAAGTGTGCGCGCCAGCTTATTTCGTGTTATTGCTCACGTCTCAGCTCTCCTGGGTTCGACGCCCGGTCGCCGCCGCTCTCCCTGGCTAGGACGTGTGCAGGATGTCGCTATTATTGCCCTGCCTGCGCTCGCTAGCACGGTTGCCCGTTCTAAATATGGAACTCATATTAGTTATGTTCAACTGGTTAGGTTTTACTAAAGTATTATTAATTAGGTACTACTTTGTGTTGATTCCGAGACCGTATTTGGATAATCCTTTGTTCAGTTTTTGTAATATTAATGTACATCTGCATTTTAGTTTTTAGAAATTACAGTACCGCAGTTTTTAATTAACTAGTTACATTGTCCCATGAACGATAAAACTTACAGCTCTAGTTTAACTTTAGGTCAATGAAATCCTTCGAAACAACTTCACAACTAAATAGTGAGTAATTGGCTCTTCTCGTGGACATTTTAGATTTTGTACAATGATTGGACGATAAATGACTGATTCAACTGAGTGTCATCGGTAAGCCACGGGGCAGTTTTGTTTCGCGGTCCATTGTCCATTGGCCGCGTTGTGGCCCGTTGAGGAGTACGTAGGTCCAACCCGATCGTGTTTCGAAGGCGTTGATCGGCCAGCACCGCTTCGGCGGGCAGTGGCTTTTGTCTTCGGCCGGTTTGGCGCTAGTTCAACGTTCAAGTGCAATGCGCCGGCACATCTCGGCAGGCGGTGCTGGTGTGCGGTTGCGCGCTGCGGCCACCCTCGCGCGTCCACGCGTTCCACATTTGAATTTCGAATCTCGAGCTCACTGCCCTAATGGTAACGGGCACACGAATCGTTTTGAACAGAATTAAAAATAAATAACTGTGAACGAGTGAGCGCTGTGCTTTTTGGACCGTTCGTCATCTTCAACGGAGCTTTTGTCACTGGATATTCAAAGGTAATTAATTTCTATGTGTATTAACTGATTGATTAATTTCTCTACTCTCTATCCCATTTCTCGCTCCCTTTTTATCATTAGATTATCATTTTTATGCATCCATGCGAACTCAAAGGTAATAAAATATCGCTATGTTTATTTACCTTATGCTAATGAGTGTGATTCATTAAGAATCTTTCAGCTTTTTGTTTTTAGTTTAATTGAATTTATGTTAAAGTTTACTATAATATTTTTATTTTTATCGTTAATTTCAGCGAAAAGCTGTAAGGGTAAAGGAAACCATGCCGTTAAGTTTAAATTTCTTTATCTATTAACTGCATTAACGCATATTATTACATACAAAAGACTTCAACGCATCAAAGACAATTTTTGCGTTGTAACACCGAGTACAGTGATAAATATCAAGATTTTTTTCTTGTTAATGCGTTAAAATTTATATTGCAACTAAAGTAAACTACATAAAAATGAGATTTTAGCCTTATCGGGTATAAGAGTAAAGGATTGTGATTAAAATTTTGTTAAAAAATCGTTAATTAAGCTAATCACAATATGTAGCTTAATTCGTTTATTACTTTTTGCTTACTATTTCAATTCGATTGATTTATTGACTAATTCTAAATTAACTATAAAAGACCGTTAAGTGCTAATTTTATAACTCAGCTAAAGTTTTGTAAGCAATGTTACAAAGAATTGTACACGGATGTGACTAATTAGAAACTTAAATTATATTTGTATGAGAAGCTGAAAAAAATTCTCTCGCATATTAATTTCTCCAAAGAGTTTGTTTACATTCTGTGAATGCAGACTAGTACAGAATTAGGGTTCCGTTATTGAATACATACATATGATTAGAGACCGGTTCACTTACACCGCCTCGGATTAGACGCGAACGACGCGGCAAGTTCCTAACCAAGTCTGCTTGCCGCATAAATGTCATAACGTATTCAAATTAAATATTATACGAAAATTGGTTGTACAAGAGAAATATAGCATTAATATACCATAACTTCATTACACAAAACAAACCAGTAGTTTTATTAAATAATTAATAGCTTGGTTATTTTTTAAAATGCTTATAACAAATCAATTGAATCAATGATCAATGTAAATTAATCACATTACTCTCGTTATAAACATTTCAAATATTTCATTTAAGATGTTTTTTGCCTTACGCTTGTGATTTATTTTAGCAAGAGCTAACGAAAGCCGTTTGGCATTGGCAGGTCGATGGCCACTGCGATCGCCAGAGAAATGGTGATAATGGCAGTGACGTTACGTCACGTTTCGTTGTTGGGCATTTCGAATGTACATATTTTTAAAATAAAACTCCATATATTTTTTTTATAAATTTATGTTTATCTACATCTCCAGGCGTTTTTAGACTTTTTTGAAAATTTATAAAAAACTTTACGATTATTGCACCATATATTTGCCTTAACCTGTGTAGATTGGACAGTCCACTGCCCAATTTCTTTTTACATATTTTTTTCACTACTTAGTATAAAATAAAGTCATCCCGCTGTCTGTCTGTCCCTATATATGGTTAGATCTTTAAAACTACGGAACAGATTTTGATGCGGTTTCCTTTAATAGATAGAGTGATTCAAGAGGGAGATGTATATGCTGACTTTATGCGTAATATAGTGGAGAAACACTATACGATGTCGAAAACAAACATTCAGCATTGCACCCGTGCGAAGTATGGACATTTGCAGCCCTACGGGTATTGCAAATGTCCATGGGCGGCGGTTAACACTTAACATCAGGTGAACCGCCAGTTCGTTTCTCATCTTCAGACATAAAAAATAAATTATCATTTTGATAATGACCCAATAATACTATAGATTAAATTGAATTATTTTATTAATTATTATTAGATTGAATGTCTAGAGACTTACACTTTGTACTAGTTCCGTGGTTTACGTTGTGTTTAGTTTGAAATTACCTTTATACGATATTCCCCGTTGTTTGTGTATCAAGCGCGGGGCTCATGCATCGATGTCAACAGACGACATTTGAATCGCATATTCCGTGGACAAGTTTTATTGGCGCCCGTTAGGCCGTCGGAACGTGTTTGTGACATACCAACGAGCGTTATTATACATATTGTAGAATAACGGGACCGCTTCCACCGTGTACGTATACAGGTTACGACGAAAACAACGACTTATAGCACTCTGTTCACTATTTTAATGTATAATTAATGTAATACTTATCACAATTCACATAAAAGGCAATTAAGATACTCCCTTATAACGCTAAGTACAAAGCAAACTCCTTTATTCTAAACGACAGAGAGGAAGTTTCATAACTTTCGGAATTTTTCCAGATTATTGAGTGCTGAATTATGAGGAAGGCAGGATAGGAAGTATCGTACTATATTTAAGGATCATTGATGAATTAGAAATAGAACACTAACCAACTAGTGGGACCGAAACCTGTCCCCGAAGATCGAGGTGAATTTTTTTGGCGTGACCATGCAGCATCTTCACTGTTGCACGAATTGGGAAGGTCCGAACGGGTAAGTTTCACGCCCTCGCAGAAGACCGGCGTGAAGTGGAATTAGGATACTTCTACGGTTCGTCGCGTTTCTTTCGTAAGGAGTGTAAAATTTAAACAAAAATCAAAATGTAATCAAAACGTATTTTGTACAGGATTTCCTTTTATTTTTAGAATCGTTATTTTTAAGTGTTTTGCTTTTACAGACCAAACTTAATAGCGAGATGATTAATTTAAGAAGGGTAATTTGGAAACATAAAATCCATTAAATAAAATAAAAATGCTACTAAGTAATTTTACTTAGATCATGCTTCGACTTTTGCAATAACTATAATGGTATTTATGCCAAAAATACAACATAAGAATCGTTATTACTAAATATGTTATATTGATGCCTGTGTATAACAAAGAGTGAAGTAAGAACTAGTTCTATCTGACAAAGAGACGCTGCGATGAATCGACTTTCTAATTTGGATCCAGGATAGAGAAGTGTTGACCGGTTCTGCGATTAGATCAATCTTCAGGATCCGAACAAGTTAAAGTTTACTGGCGGGGAATGTTAATTCTGTAAATTGAAGCGAGCAGTTAAAAAACAATGCTTTAAAATCAAATTATCAAAATATGAAAAATACGACAGACTCAAATGTAAACAATGTTCAGAAAAGAAAAAAATCTAGTGGTCAGTACAATGGAAATCCTTCCATAATATTTATGTAACAACACTATCAAATTGCGATTTATTCACAACCAATAATTATAACTGTTCGTAGGCGGTCATCGCATCAAAACCGAGCGAAAGCCAGTGAAATGCCGCTTCATAACTGTTTTTATCTCTGGGAGATGGTATAAATTTTTACACAATTCACTACGAACTTATTGTCCAAAAGAAGAAAAAGATAGTATTTCGTCATTTGTGTAGTTTCATTATGTTCGAATAACTTGAACTGATTTTACGAAAAGATTTTGAAACCCATCCCATAAATCGTTATTTCGTAACGCGGGGAATATTTCGATGAATAAAAGTATTCAATCACAACTTACCATTGTCATTATAAGCATTTAAGTGGCTCGGCAGAGAAAGTTCATCGTAACCGTGTAATGTAGTACATTTTAGTCAATATCATTCAGAAGGTGTTCGGGTTTGGAACCTGCTGTTAGCCATTCAATGGTAATTCGGAACCGTTGTTTGAATTACCATTGGCGGTAACACGCGACTCTGTGCATTGTTACTATAATCGGCTGCATTTTTCTCTGTGTTACGTCATTGACTGCGGTTGTGTCTATTCACAGTTAAGAATTGTGTAGCCGTTTACAAATGACCGTTTTAATAAAACAATGTATTAATTTTCAAACTGGAAATTTCTGTTCACAACGTCTTTTCCTGTTTAAGCTAACAGCTAAGTTCCTAATTCTCAATATTTTTTTATCTAGTTGCAAAAGTGCATACTTTAGTAACGGTTAATTTATAACATACATGTTCTAAAATGTCCAGAGAGTCACACCCGATAAATGTAGATTTTATTGACTGATTTTCAAGTTTCCTCAATACTTTAATAGTTCGATGTTACCATCGATATCCGACTTCATTTAAAATAATTTAAATAAATTGTTCTTGTAAGGCTGTTTTTGCTAAAAACATAACAATAGGTTGGCAAATGCTACGCATAGTGAAAATACCTGGTAAATTTAAAACATAGACAATTTTAGTAATACTGGAAAGTAGGCTTTTATATGATATTGAAAGAATAAAGGGTAAATCAAGGCACTAAAAGAATTTACAAATTTTTATCAGTTTGTTGAAATATCTGAAGCACGACCCGTTACGTTCCACTACAAAATTACGTAAATATTTTTATATAGAGTGGTACAGTGTACAAAAATCGTGCAAGATGCCTAATTACGCGTGAATAACCGTGCAATTATTACACGGTGTTATTGTAATACGTAGAATTAAGTAAGAAACGTAACCGCGCGTTATTGGCGTGTAATGTAAAGATCGTTGCGTGACGTCATCGCCGAGGCCAGCAGTTCTTTGGGAGCCACCCCAGCTCCTGAGTTAAGGACGCCCGGTGCAAACGTGACACGATACCGCGCAATCGTACCGGCAACAGGAAACGCACGTCGTTAGTGTGATGTACAAATGTTATGGCGATGGTTTATGCCCAAATTGCACTTCTGATACCGTGATCGTTAACTTCGTACAGTCGCTGCCGTAAACGTATTAAGATATATTTGTTAAGTTTTATGATGTTAAGTTAATAAATGTGCTTTTTGCATCAAGCCAAGGTCAAATGATCTTATAAATATTATAAGCTAAAACATGGGTCGCAGTATCACATAGGCTTCCTATAACCCCGTAAATGTACAGGATTTTGTGATAGCACTTTCAGTTACTATCTAATTGAGGGCCTTCAATATGAAACTAGCGACATTAAAGAAAAATTAATGGTTGATGATCATTCCTATAAAGATATTGAAAGATTTTATTTTAATCGTAAGAACATAATATTGAGCATATTTATTTAAGTTCTGAGTTACAAAGAGGTCTTTTGTTATTTTTTTACCTAAAGTAATGTTAATTGCTTTCAGAATCCGTCACAACGATACCATATATTTCACCTACATGATAACTGCCTAATTTTGGATAACTATTATATTTTTGTACCGATCAGTTATCCATAAAAAGAGATAATTATACTTATATTATAATTCCCATTGTTCTTTTTTTTTTAATTTAATTCAACAATACTTCTACAGGAAACAATTTTAGGTAACTATGGAGGTCAGCATATGCTGCGGTAGTAATTATGATGACAATCGTATAATGTTTGTCATCATATACGACTCTCAAAAACTTAGTTATGAAATACTTCCCAATAAAGCGCAATACTTTCAAAAGTTGTTGAGTTTACGACTACTTACGAACACTCTGTCAATAATTATACTTCCCCTTTAATTTGATTTAAGAAAAACTGTCGAGTCTAAAATTTTCTCTTTACAATGACAAAATTTTCGCCAAAAGCATCCTTTTATCAATCTGTCGCCCTTTCTAGCGCTTCCCCCGGTATTTGTTACCCGGCATTATAAATTATTAATAAATAAAATATCGTGGCAATTATGTCATTCAAGTGGCTTTGGCAGCATTAATGTTTGGCAGTCGCTTATGCCAGTAATGCTCGCAGAGCAATATTACAAACATCACATAATATTACAGAGCGACATTACAAAACTATGCAACTTAATACTTTCCAGAAAGGAGAGGAAAATTCTAAATTTGTTATATTTTGTTCAGGTTTAGATTATGAGCCTTCAAGGAAAAGGTAAATAGTATCTGCCCCGTTGCTATTGGGTCTACTTTCCTTTATGTTGGTAAATCTTCTCCGGCTTTAAAATGAAATTCCAGCCTGTTCACTAAGCTATGGAAGCGAA